AAACAACCTTGTTGAGCCCTCCTTCATTTTAGAAATTGATAATTTTTGTCAATTACGAGCCACAATATTCTGATAGAATTTATCCTTTTAAACAGTTTTATGCGTGTACAGTGATGAGCGGTGGCTGGGGAACGCAAATCAAACTAAGGGGAGGGGGGAGGTCTGGAAGAAGAGTGAGGCAAAGCTGAGTTGTAATTATCAGGTGGGGTGGGGGAGGGTACCCTCAGCATGTCCGCGTCGGAGGTGCCGGCCAAATAGATGAAAGACAACACTTTAGATGCAACAATTAAATGAGAGACGATTTCTGTAATCACCACAATGCTTTATTTCAAGCAGCTTTTGAAGACTTCGACAAGGAGGATGAGGTTGATCAAGAAAATATATCGAAATTTGCAAAAGACGCAGTGAATAAAGCGGATATGGACCAGTTCTTTTCAGTCAGAAATAGATACTGCACTTGCAAGGTGCCGCTTGTACTGGGAGACGAACCAGAAGAAAGCAGAGATCAAGTTCGTGAACGTATTAACTCATTTGCTGATGAAGCTCAATATGCAAGTGCTAAAGAGAATCCTGAAGTTTTGATCAAATTCGTTCAACCATACTTCAAGGCCGTGAGCCTAAAATGTCATTGCACTGCCAACGAGCCTGTTGTGAGGTCAGTTGAAGAAATATTAATATATGAAACATTAATGTCCAGTAAGGAAACTGAGCTAGGTCTGGGCGGTATTTTGTTCAGGTAGCCCTAGCCGTTTTATAGTTTCTACTATTGATCTGATTTATACCCCAGAACAAAAACATTTTACTTCAAGACCATTTTTTGTAGTAAGTAATCGAAGATATTTAAGTGTCCCTTATGGCAAGCCGTAGTGGACAAAAGGTGGTTGAAAAAGAAACCATACGTTGAGATTTATATCATTAGGGTCCAGAATTATTGACATGTGGTTGAAATCATGATTGTTAGTGATCAGTTCTTAAAGTGTTGCTTCAGTTCTCCTCCAACAGCCTTGAGTTTCAAATCATGGTGTCTGAGTTCTTTGAATTTGTAGTGTCCGAGAAATTTCGAATTTTTAATGTTCGAGTTTTTTCGAAATTGAACTGTGCGAGTTTTTTCGAATTTGTAGTGTCCGAGTTTTTTCGAAATTGAAGTGTCCGTGTTTTTCGAAATTGAACTGTGCGAGTTATTTCGAATTTGTAGTGTCCGAGTTTTTTCCGAAATTGTAATGTCAGAGTTTTTTCGAAATTGAAGTGTCCGAGTTTTTTTCGAATTTGTAGTGTCTGAGATTCTTCGAAATTGTAGTGTCCGAGTTTTTTCGAATTTGAAGTGTCCGAGATTCTTCGAAATTGTGAATTCCGAAGACAGACTTTGCAGGGGTGCGGATAATTGACAAAAATTTTTCCTTGAAAATAGCGACAGATGGTTCAAGTCTAAGCTCTGGTTCAATATTGTTCTATTCAGACAAACAGTGAGGATAAAAACTAGATTTTAATTTTTCTCTTCTTGCCATTATTTGCCCTACGATGCTCTGACTACGAAGATAGTAATGGCACTAATAAAGGTGAGGGATTGGATCCTTCATATAACTGGGGGTGAAATTATTCCCAATCTTATAAAACAAAGTAAGTCGTCTGCTCCTACGGGAACTTAATGATTCCCAGCCAGGCTCCGCATACAATTTTTGTCCGCATACCTTCATACCTCCGCATACCTTCATACCTCCGCATGCCTTCATACCTCCGCATACCTTCATACCTCCGCATACCTTCATACCTCCGCATACTTTCATACCTCCGCATACCTTCATACCTCCACATACCTTCATACCTCCGCAAACTTTCATACTTTCGCATACCTAGTAGTGTAGAGCCAAAAAATCTAGAGGAGGGCCATGCGATAGATCTTTCTCTATTTTGCATACAAATTCGATTGTTTTCAATTGTTTTTGTTTGCATGGCAACTCAAAATCAATTTCTCTACTTTTTCATTTTGAAGGGTAAAATCATCTTCCAATGTCTACCTGTTACTTGAGTAGAAAAATCTTAAAAATAAATAATTTAGTTATCAAGAAGGCCATTCAAGTCACACGTTATTGCAAATGTTAAAAAGTAATATTGGTTAATCAAAGATTTGATCCTGGCAGAAATTAGCAAATATATTTTAAAATTACCCAATAAAAGGGAGAGGGCGCAGCCCCCTGAGCCCCCTTTTCTGCAGCTCTTGATGAAGGGTGGTCAGCAGTAAAATTTACCAACGAAGATGTCAATGAAGACAAAATTTCAATTAACAGCAATAGTGGTTCCTTTGAAGACTGTTGCTACGAGGTATATCTTTATCCAATCACTTAATATTGACTGAGTAATATGTTAACCGAGTAATATGTTAACCGAGTAATATGTTAACCGAGTAATATGTTAACCGAGTAATATGTTAACCGAGTTATATGTTAACCGAGTAATATGTTAACCGAGTTATATGTTAACCGAGTAATATGTTAACCGAGTAATATGTTAACCGAGTTATATGTTAACCGAGTAATATGTTAACCGAGTTATATGTTAACCGAGTTATATGTTAACCGAGTTAATATGTTAACCGAGTTATATGTTAACCGAGTAATATGTTAACCGAGTTATATGTTAACCGAGTAATATGTTATCCGAGTAATATGTTAACCGAGTTATATGTTAACCGAGTAATATGTTAACTGAGTAAAATCCTTCCTTTTCTCTTACTATTTAGGCTGTTGGAGTTCGTACATTTGGCTAAAGTCGCTGAAAATAAAGCAAAGGTCGAATTCCTGAGTAAACTGCGTTCCTTGGTCGAGGTCGTGAAGAAGCAATAGTAGACGTTAAAGAGACAGAATCAGTTCTGAGCTTGGTTCTAATTTTTTAGCTTAACTGACTCTACACTTAAAAGGACGTTAAAAGGAACTTTTTTCTCTAAGCTGTTTGTATTTCTTGAACAGATTTATAGATAGCACGTTTTTCTTTAGCTTTTTATATTACAGCAGACATTTTTGTGGCTTCAGTGTTTTACTAATGTCTTTTCTTTTCACTAAAAAACTAACAACAATTTCTTTACAAGAAACAAGGATCAAGATTGACCTAAAGACCATTTCTCGTTGGCGTCAATATGTTTTATATCAATTAGACCACCACATTGATGCAGCATAATAATTTAACCTATTCATGGGTAAAGTGAAAAATACGGAACTTTCGTATTTTGCTTTGTCGTTTGGTTTACGCTTTTTCTTATGAGAAATAAGGGTCGAAATAGTGTACTCAAGTTTTTAATGCTGCGGTCAATTTCAGCACTGAGAGGCCCTTCACATGAGAAATTTCAGACCGGTTTGAACTCGCGCCGGTCTGAGTTCAACAATGTTAGGTGTAAATGTTGGGCCAGTTTGGCCACCCATGTTGGACGTTTGTTGTTTGTTTGTAACCTTATTTTAATTCGATATTGCTTCTAGCGATACATATATATATATATATGGATATATACACATACAACTAATGTAAATCGAATCAACTGTATAACAAATGAAAAGGAAATAACTAAGGAAATAAATACGTACGTACATTACAGGATATCGATATCATTATATTTGCAAACGTTGCATTAACAGGTAGGACAATCTCATCGTTTTATCATACGTTTGAAGCTGTTAAGATTGTCAGCTGATTTTAGTTCATTTGGCAGACATTTCCAGATCTGAGGTCCTATGGCTCTAAGGCTCTTGGAACCGAAAGTTACTTGGTTTGGTCGAAAATGATTTAAGTTTTCAGGATTCCGAGAAGGATGTTTTAATGTTCTTGAACTAAAAGTGCTATGCATAAAAGGTGGATTCAAATTTCTAATTGTCTTGAATATTTCGATACAGAGGGTTCTCTGACGAGCAACTCGCATTGTACACTTTTTTGACCTAGTAAGAAGATCGTCATAGGAACTTTTATGATCAGTGTATAAAAATCTTAGCGCGCTTTCCTATATCCTTTCAATTTTCTAGAGTGATTTTGAAGACGAAAAATACGAAACTAAAGGACAATAGTTAAAATTCGAGTACACAAAACTTTGAACCAAAACTTCTTTTTCAGCGAAATCAATAAATGACTTGAGTCACTTAAGAACGTTCAGTTGTGCCGCAGCTTTTTTACAAAGGTTTGTGAATAACAGCCACTGATGGTAAGTAAGCATAGTTCAACTCTCAATCAATGAATTTCCCTGAGATGCAAAAGTGATGTAAACACAATATGTAGCTGAAAAATATGTTGTGTGGGTGAAAGTTCAATTTGTAGTCTAGTGCTGTAATATGATTGGCATTCTAACAAAGTTTTATCGTATGCGATAATTACCATCGACCCAAACACATAACTTTGTCTCGATTTATTGCGTCTCTCATCCCTTATGCCGTAGTCACTCCCTAGCCACGCCCTGCCCAGTTGACTGCTTGAAAAATTGAAGGAAGGTTTTGACGGGATAAACTTTGACCGGGGGAAGGTTCCGGACTCTGGTTCTACTCTTACTCAACGAACTGGAACACTTCGAGAAGTGTTTGGTATAAAGTGTTGCGAGATACAACCAAATTTGAAACCAGCATTTGCAGACAATCAGCTTCAGTGAGGGCAAGGCCATTTTTTACTCAAGCGAAGCAAAACAAATGATCGTAAACTTCACCTACAACAAAAACTTTTTAACGTGTATATTCTAACGGTCCCATAAGCCTACTTCGAACGAGGCCGAAATGTCGGATGCTTTATTCGGTGGGCTTGATTGATAGCGCTTGTAAAAGATAGTGCTCTCGAGGGGAAAATCAATCAGTTCAAAACTCACTGATCACCACTCCAATTGAATTACGTAATATTTCATTACACGTTAGGTGCTAAAATAATACTAGTTACGTGGCAATAAAATTGAAAGGCAAAAATCAACAAACAAAATTTGTTGCCATGCAGTAGTACATATTCTGCACGAATGGATATCCTTTTGTAGAATAACAAAAAAAGAAATTGATTTGCAGAATAACAGAACAAAGATATCCACACCTTTGGGACAATGAGAGGGCCAATCAGCAGATTCTGTAGGATAAAGTATAAATAAAGGCAACGGCTTCCATGTCAGTGACATTCGTCTGCAACTGGCTCAGCGACGACATCAGAAACAGGGTAAATATATATACATTCTTACAACATTAAGACAGGCAGCAGAAGAAAACCAGTCTTCAATTAAACAATTCCATGATATCAAGCTAAAGCTAGCATCGTTCTTTATCGATCGCAAATTTGTTATGAATATATTTGACGCTTGCTATATTTGAACCTTCAATCGGACGTAAGCCTAATTTTTCAACTTTTGTCCGACAGATACAACATGGATCTTAAATTTCTTGGTATTTTACTTCTCTTGGCAGTAGCAGCTTATGGTGAGTAAAAATTGGACTTTTTTCTTATTTTTAAAACGGAGCTCTAAACTATCCTGCATCATATTTTTAAAACGGAGCCGTTAACAACCCACAGCCCAAAGGCTCTTCGAATTTCCACTCTAGTGTGACTTTGGATTTAGCAATAGGAAAAAGAAAAAAATCAAATCAAATATTCGTATGCGATTACTGATATACAACCAACCCAAATGTGCAGAAATGCTTTTGAAGATTAAATAAATCCTAAATGAATGAAATTTGAAAAACTACCTATTTCTCACCTTGAAAACTAATGCATGTTATCTTGGTGTTCTTTCAAGCTGATCCTTCTGCGGAGATTGAAGAGATTGAAGACCCTGTTGAAAATGATGGTAAGATAAAAATTATTTGGATTGATTTGTTTTGCTTCCGTCAGAGAATGAATTTAGAAACAAGGATATATCCGATAACAGTCCTAAGGTGAAAACGAACTCCTTTTGTCTACACATTAGCGATTTTCATGATTATGTAGATAGATTCTAAAACTGCTAGATGGAATTGCGATCGGGCTTTGCCAATAATCCGAAACATGTCGCCATTAACTGGGTATATATATTTCCTAGCGTAGAGTTTTGGTCTGTGTTCTGACGTTTTCAATAGGCAAGCGGCACTGATTGGTCAACCTATACAGTCATGTGCTCGTGTTTCTGATTGGCCTATTTCGATCCACAACTGGGTATATATATTTCCTAGCGTAGAGTTTTCGATCTATGTTCTGACGTTTTAAACTCTGAAGAGTGTCAGACGAAAAGCTTTAGTTTACTAAATGTTTGCTTTTTTCAAAGCCATTTTCTGACGTTTTGTACTCTGAAGAGTGTCAGACGAAAAGCTTTAGTATTCTCAAATTTATGCTTTTTTCAAAGCCATATACACAGGGGCGTCGAGAAGGGGGGTTGGGAGGAGCAAAAGGTCCGGAGCCCGTGCTCCGATGGGGGCTGTAATAAAGTAACATGTAAAGTGTTTTGGCTCATTCTTGTAAAAATCTTTAAAAACAATTTTAACAATTGTACCTAAAAAGGCGTTTCCACTGTTCTCCGATCACCCCTGGGCCCGAGCTGTCTCCCAACGGCCCTGCACAATATTTATGTTTTGACTTTTCCATACATTAATAAGCATGCATTTTCCTTATTTTATTCTGCAAACTTTCAGAAATCATAGCCGTAAATCACGGGTCACATGAATGATACGAATTTATTTTTCACAAACATCAAATACTCGATGTTGAATCAAACTGCGTTTAGTATTAAGAGTTTGCTGATATAATCTATGCTGTTTTATATTCTATGCTATATTTGTCTGATTGATAATAATTCTTCGTTGTAATTAGAAGCTCTTGATGATGTAATGGATGATGACGATGAAGATCTCTCTGATGACTTGGCGTTTGATGAAGAAGACTTACGTGGCAGACTAAGAAGAAAAGCTAAGAAAGTGCCATACTTCTCCAAGGGAAAGTACTGTGTCTGCAGCAAGCAGAAACAATCAAAAGAAGACGAGACAGAAGATATAGCTGAAAAGGATGTACAAGACCATATTGATGACGTTGCAGAGGATGTCGAAAATGCAATCAATAAGCCAAGGAAACGACTCAGACCAAGCAAAAAACACTGGAAATTGGCCTTGAGAAAACTCGTGTATCCATTTTTCAAAGCTGAAACCCTTGGATGCTTCTGCACACGAAACAGAGCTGTTGTCAGGTTGGTGTTTCGCCTGTCTTTTGTATTTTTTTTTGTATTTGTTGCTACCTAGCATCCGAAGGTAGTTTTTAGGACACTGAGAAGCTATGCTTATCGAACAGTGTCCTGGTCCTCTCTCTCGATGTGACCACACCTCATGATTCCTACGCCTGGAATTACAGAGAGCTGGCGACTCTCCCCACTCTGGGTGAAAGTTTGGTCATGCCAGGAACTCGAACCACAGACCCTTTGGTCTGTAGTCAGCGCCTCTAACAACTGAGCCATCCTCGCACCTGGCTCAACTGTCCTAGAGGATGTTTGCTTGAGGAGGGGTCAAGACTTTGTTTTTACAATCAGGGAATGATTGTATTTATATTGATTGTATTGGGTTACAAAATAGACTTTGGGTGACAATTGACACCTTCTTTGTATGTTGAATAGTTGCATGCATTTAAACCATGAAAGAGACTTTCTTTGCAATTACACATGCAAGGTTTTCAAGAGAAATGTTTGTTCATTCAAACCACAAAATAAGCTTTTAAACCAGTCAGACAGCACTTCATTGTCTAGAAAGCAGCACATTAATGTCTTGATGACAGTAGCTTATAAAACCGTATGTTTTGAAAAGAAAAAAGCAGAAAATTTTTGTTTTTACGTTGCTTCTCTTTGATGAAACTAATAGTAATAATTTTTCTTGAAGATTGTTGAACTACCTGCACCTTGTTCACTACATCCACCTTAAGCAGAAGAAAGTCTTCATCCAACACGTCAAATATTTGGTTGCTCAAGTCAAGAAACAGAGGGGAGGCTGAGCTAATATGGCGGACATTCAACTGACACTTGCTTGTAGCTGAACTTTCTATTTGGAATCTTCAAATATCAAAGTAGCACACACATTAAGTTAATGAAGCTCTTCATACTTTTGTATGCACCATAATTTATCATTAAAAAATTAACTTATTTGTAGAGACTCAACGTTTGTACTTTTTTTAAGAGACTCTTTTACCTTCTATCTACTATTTCTGCATATTTTGAGGGAGAAAGGCAATGTTAATGTAAAAATCCCCACAAAGGGAAGATGTGTCACAAATATTCTTGAAAATTGACAATTATGTTACTTGGTGGTAATGTGATACATATCATGCAACATAACAGAAAATAATTTTACAATAGAACAATGTAGCTTAAGACCAATCAGCTGTAAACACCTAACTAAGGCAACTGCTTAGCCATGGGAAACATTTTGATAATTTCTACTTTATTTGGTGAGGCTGAGCTATAAAAGCTTCAATTTGATGTAAAAATTATTCTGGGGCCCCTGTTTGTGTGGGGCCCTTTGATATCAAACTAAGATGCCCTAAAGCCCTAAACTGCTTTAAATAGTCCAACGATTTCCATGTGAAAATATTTGCAAAAAGCTGGAAAACAAAAATGTCCTTTTCATGATTTATGGGTGAAGATAAAGGAGATTATAATAGAACTCTTTCATTCTTCTAATTTAAATAATTCCTCGCTGATAAGTATGTATCTAGCATAAAAAGGCAAGAAAAACTTTGAGAAATAACTAAAAGCAGTTTCTGATAGACATGTTCTTTATACACAGTGCCACAGAAAAAACTGATTTTGACTTCCAGAGAAAATCACTTATGCTGAAAATCTGTCATGGCTAGCAAAGCAGTAGTAGTTTGAGGTTTGAAACTGAATCTAGGATTTAGGTACTTAAGACTTTTTTATCCAAATCTAGAGGCAAATATGATATAAGCCAACTTTAAGTCCAATTAGACTTAAGAATTATTCTGTCCTTCGAAGCAACAAAGGGGTTAATTATATGCAAAATTCATTTATAAACATGAGAAAGATCAACCGTTTCCTTTTGGGGTCTGATGTTTTACCTCCCTGGATTCTTAAGTGCATTAATAAGTTCAAAGTTAAGAGTTATAGCCAATAGTCTTGATGTGAACCAAATTTTCCAGTTATTCTTAAGTGTGTGCATATTTTTCAGCTACATTTGTGTTTACATCACTTTTGCATCTCAGGGAAATTCAATGATTGAGAGTTGAACTATGCTTACCTACCATCAGTGGCTGTTATTCACAATCCTCAAGGTTCTGCAAGTAAAGGAATAATTTTAGAAATAATGTTTAAAAATGCCAAAGACATTTCCTACTCCTAAAGGACTATCTCAAGCAGGGACACTGAAAGGGAGACAGGGGCAAATTGCCTAAGGGCTTTGAGGTCTAGGAAGCCTCATAGAGAAATTCTTTTTTAAGATTGCACAATTATACAATTTATACAATTGCAAAAAAATAACTGCAAAAATATTGACAACAAAACCTGGTAACAAAATTTTTTTGCTCACTTTGCTGTTTTTGTTTTGCCCCAGTGCCTCCCATGGCCACTAAAACTTCTTGACAGCCATGATCTCAAAAAGATCATTTGATTTAACATGACACACTTTTTTCCAATCTCAGCTGCGAACAAATTTAGAAACTCATTTTGTCATATTTGAAAAAGCTCTTGAATTTGAGCCACACCCAACACCACCCCATCTTTCGGGTGTGCAAGAGTGTACTCGTAATTTTACAAAATTTATCGGTAGAGTAGCTGCCATGGAATCCATACTGGGTTGCAACTGCTTGATTAAAATTAGCTAATTCTAAATGGTGCATTGTGTTATTAATTATGTTAATGTAACCTAGTTGTGTATCTTGCAAGGTTGCATCGAATTTATTCATACATTATCATATTTTACCCGTCTAACATCACCCGCTATTTCAAAGTTAGTGATTTCAAGACACCCTGGTTTATCTTTTCCTCCTTGAAACAACTTCTTCGTTTAAAAAATGTATTTCCTACCCTTCACTAGTAAAGCTTTATAGAAATAAATTAACGGATAATGTTCACTTACTTTTCGAAAGAGGGAGTAAATTGAAATTGCACAGTCTTCACTACAACAGATTCACTGTATTTGTTATTTCGTTTCTGCAGTCGTTTTCCCGCCAAGTGAGCCTCGATTTGACGATAATCTCGGTCGAACAAGAAGACAGGCTTTGTTTTCCGGTGCATGCTTCCCTGCACGTTCTCTTCGTTTGTTTTTCTGAACTTTCCTGGAAAGTTCCCAGATAAATAGATTTAAAATTCATTCAATTCAAAAGGATTTTATTCAATTTTGGTTTTTTACAAATTCTTAACAGCCGCATCTTTCTGAGGTCAAAGGCATTGTTGTCATTATAAGAAGAAAAGAACTTTTTTTAGAGTCCATTTTTAGATTTTTCATATAATTCAATATCGTTGGCAACAATGAACAAATAATATTTTAGCACATGCTGGTGTTCATAAGATGGTTTATTGCCTTGTTTGTTATCACACGACAACAGTGTTGGTCCTGTTTTAGAGAGGCCAGTAAACCATTAAAATTTGTCCTTTTTGTTGACTTGAAACTCCGGTTGTTGTTTAGTACAAACATGATGTAGCTACCCTGGGTACCACAGCCTTGCCGTACGACATGAAATAGAATGAAAAATTGGAGCGTGGATTTTGTCTGGCGAGTCTTTCGAAGGTATGGCATCCGGGGAATGACAAGGCATAAAACTTGTGTTAAAAATAAGCTGTTTTCAAAAAGTTGTTTTGCAAACTTTTACCCTCCTTGTCAAAGATACTTGGCACCTAGCAAGTAAAAAAACAGCCTTGTCTTTGTTATTGGATGTTTTCGCTTTTACACCCTTGTAAAAAATCCTTTGTTTAAAGTTAAACTTCTCGTGCGTTCTGTAAAGCCATTATACACCCAAAATCCCATTGATCTTTAACTCGAAATGAATTTTATTTCAAAACGCTCATGTTACTTGGCACAGAAAGAAATTGATATCTCCCGAGGCTTTCGTGTAGCATCTTCACGTTTGATTGTACAAAAATCTTTATTTGTTGATAGAGAATGAAACAAATCATGAATTTCTTTGTTATTACGCCTTATTGCAAAACTCTGAAGAATATAAATTTGAGGAGTGCATTGAAGTCATTTCGAAGCGTTCTTGGCACATTGACGTCTTAGTTGGCTTTGGTGCAGTTATTTAGAGTCATCTTGGGTGAGCTCTTTTATACCATGCTTACTTGCTTTGCTAGATGTTTGCTCTTGTCAATTTGTCTACCCCAGCCTTATCCTTGTACCTGAAGGCTAACGTAAGCGTGAATAAATTTGTTTATTTTAGCAAAGCCTTTGTTTTCTACAGCTAAGGGCTTTTAGTAATACCTAAGATATTAATGGCAACAGCAAATGTCTTTTGAGCATCATATTGTTGGCCAATGGATCTAAGGAGTTACGATTTTACAAAATAACTTCAACAAATATAAGCTTATGTAACTTGGTTTTCAATTCTCAATTACATTTCGGTGGCTAGGAAGATACTTGCAGTCTACAGTTATTCATAGAGTTGGATGTCCTAATTACAATAGTTTTGGAATCCTTTTCACGATAGTAACCCATCATAGGCCTTTGCGCCGTCGTTTCCAATTAGTTCGAATAGTCTTCCAGTAACAGATTCGCATTTTAATTCCATGTGTGTGCCAGAACATCGTGAATGATAATTTTCTTGTCTAATGCATTCGTACCCCGTAAATTTGCATTACAATTATGTGCATAAAATATTTCTCTCTTTTAGTTTCAGAATGGATTTGAAATTCCTGGCTGCTTTCCTTCTTTTAGCAGTGACAGTTTATGGTGAGTCAAAACCACGTATCGTTCTCCACTGTCCTGTAGAATATAATTTTCTGACAGTAGGAAGTATAAGTTTGACTAAACATATTATCAGGAATTTAAAGGGCATTTGAAATTTGGAGGGGCACAGATACCGCAATACCCCCTCCCCCCTTTCAGCAAGAAATGAATTTATTTGGGGTCCTATTCAATCGGTATTTGGCTATCTAAAAGACATTAAAAACATCCTTAACATTTTGACACGATGTTTTCTTTCTAGCTATTCCTTTCGAGAGCAATGATCCATTTGAGACTGAGGGTAAGCTACTTTATATAAACATTGATTTTATAGATATAACAACCACTAAACTATAATCGTTGTTGCAAATTGCTTAAACCAGAGGCTCGGCTCCGTAGCTAAGACTCCTTTTGACAGAGTTTACTTTCCTGCATTTTTCAGAATGGGAATCTGTACTGAGAGTTTTTCTAAATATATAGTAAACGGAAAGTAAACGCTTTTTGTTCATAGTAGGGGACTTGCAATGAATTTATTCTTAAATTGAACTAAAAAGAACATCAATTTTTGCGAAGGATACCAACTTACCAGATGTTTTGAAATACTTGTTAGGCTATGGAATACATGCAACATTACGTATTGACACTAATTTCAAATAAATTATTTTGTTGAGAAGAAAGTTTTTTAATGAGTGAGGCAACCCCTTCTTGGAGTCAAATTTTGCACGTGGCCAAAGCCCCAAAAGAATAAAATTTCCGAGATTTTGCTACCTTGACGGATTATGTAAAGAATTTTTTATCTGAGCTCCCAAGCAATTATCTGTACCCTGAATAGTTCACTCATCATCTGGTTTTTGACTGATGAATTGATCGTCACTCCAAATACTTTCATTGTTTTTCAGCTCCTGTTGAAGCGATAGATGCTGACGATAACAGTGATGAAGGTCTATCCGCTATAAACGACCTTATGCGCGACACTGAAAAGTCCGTGAAGAAAAAAAGACCCAGGGGCATGCGAAGACCTTACTTCTCAAAAGGAAAATACTGTGTTTGCAAGAAACTACGTAGGCCAAAAGGGGACGAGCCAGAAATTACTGAGAAGGATGTTGATGACCATATCAAAGAGATGGCTGAAAAGGTTGATGACTCAATGGCTGGTATCAAATTGAAGAGTAAGGGGAATGCATTGAGAAAAATTGTTAGATCATTTTTCCACCGTGAAACTCTTAGCTGTTACTGCACATATAAGAGGCCTATTGTCAGGTTAGTATTTGCATTTCGTTTTAAGCTGATTGATTAAAGATGAAATTTTCTCATTTGGAATCAATTATTGCAATGCCAAAAAATTAAACATGTGCATTAGCGAGAAAATCACGAATTATTTTAGATTTTTTCTTGTAAAAGCTTCAAAATTGTGCTGACCGAATTCTCTTTATCTTGAGAGAAAACATTTGATATTTCTGCATGATTTTTCTATCTAGATGGATTAGGCCGTCATTCAAACATGTCGCCTTACCTTAGAGAATACCAGTACCCAAAGTGGTGCGTTCCAAAATTCCATATTTGGTTTTAACTATCACTTTGTAGCTATTTTGTAGATACCAGCTAAAAATTAAGAAATAAAAAAATCTTTAGATAAATGATAATGGCAAAACTAGAAGAAACTTTGCATCCTACTTTGTCAAAAACAGTAACATTCTTCATAAATCCTTTTTGACGCCTATAACGGCTGGCGGCGTTCCACATAATCGTAACCAATTCGGCATGATCGTAATCCTTTTTTGTATAGCCCAAACAGCGAAAAGACTGCCCTGACCAGAAACTCGGACAATTTACCAGGCTTGGCTCACTTATAAAAAGTCTCCGTCTTTACTCCAAACAATAAACGCTCTGGAATTATGAATTATAAAGTAGATGGGGTTTTGACTCTTTTTATGTAGCCTGAAAATATCCGTTTGAATTCGAAAGAAACGATTATGTGGCCATTACTATGAAGTGAATTCTATTAATGTTGATTCAAGCTCTGCAGTGTAATGGTTAAGTCTTACTATGGAGTGGATTTCTTTTCAAGGTTGATGAATGCTCTTCGTTATTTACACTACCTACACCGCAAACAGATGGCTGTTTTTGGACATTTAGGTTTCCTTATCAAGCAAATCAAGAGACTTAGACTGCCAAAAGGAAAGACGACAAAAGGAAAGATTACAAAAGGAAAGTCGACAAAAGGAAATACGACAAAAGGAAAGAAGGGACCTAGCAAGACAAAACAAGGCTGAAGGGACATGGCAGATATCTCAAGTCAGGATTCTAACAACAACACTATCTGCTTCTGTAGCTGCTAATTATGAGTCTTGCAATGCAAACGAGTAGATGGCATTTTTGTACCTTGCTGAGTTTATGAATTATGAAGGTATTACTGAAGATATTTTAATGATGAGGCTGAAGTATCAGAAATGAACTAAACAATTCCCCTTTTTGTGTGTTTGCGACTCGTTTTCAACTTCTGTTTTTGCAAGACTTATTATCCACATTAGGTAAAATGTTAATTCAATTATTTTGAATACTTTCAAACAATTTCAAATGATTGTTTTTATTTGGAAAAAGCATGAAAATAGCTAAATCAGGATGTCAGGATTAATTTGTTTAATGTGTTTCAGGCAGTGTTTTCATTGCTATTGTAGGCCAGTTAAGCAAGAACTATCCATCTTGGTATCCTTCTAAATTTCTTGCAATTTGACTTGTTAAATTACAAACTTACAAAAGTAACTGTGAAAATTACCTATAAAGATAAATCAGTTGATTCGTTAGATAAAACAAAAACACAACAAACTTCTTTTGAAAATTTAGCCACGAAACTAGTTTCATTATTTTGAGACACAATATTTTGATGGTATAGATTTTTTTTGGGAACTGGCTTTGAAAAAAGCTAATCATTTAAAAACATAATTAGAGCGTTTTGTCTGACACTTTTTATCAAGCATCTGTTAAGTGATAAAAAGTCTAAGCTGGAAAAGAAATATACCAAGAATGTGGATCGAAATAGGCCAATCAGAAATGTGAGCAGATTACTGTAAAGGTTGCTCAAGGGGTAAAAACGAACTGCTTCTTAAAATAAGGGTTTTTTGTATCCTTAAGTGAATGCACTATAAAAATGGCTATTGCATAGAAGAAGCAAGGACTTGGCAAGAAGACCGTTATTTCCTGTCATCCCTTTTACTGTTTTCTTAAAAATAGGCTTCATTCAAACACTACGCTAAGAAGCATATATACCCAGTATGTGGATCAAAATAGGCCAATTAGAAACGCAAGCGCATGACTGTAGAGACTCAAGACACATGACTCAAGGGTGAAAAAGAGCTACCTCTTTTTGAAAATAACATTTTTTAGATCTTTTAAACTTAAACAATTTTTTTAATTAGAACCTTTTCACTTCTTTATGTGCGTAAATCATTTAATCTGGTCAAAGCTGTTTTTCTGTAGAGTTTGTTTAAGAAAGGAAAGAAAAGGAAATTAAAGGAAGATTTTAATTTTGATGATAAAATGTTTAAAAATGAAGATAAAACAAGTTTCACATCGCGAACGAGTTGGGGCACAATTGAATCTACTTTAAACGATTTTCGAAAATCCATCTTTTTCCCCTACGGACCACCCTAAAATTCAACGCCATACATAGATTTAACGAAATTCACAGAGGAAAGTTCCTGTCAAGTGAAAATGTTGTGAAAATCTTTAATAATCAAGCATTCAAAAACTTTTGAGATAAAATAATAATATTACGAACTAAAGAGTTTTCGTAATAAATGAAAAACTAAAGACAATTTTCAAAAACTTGAAGAACCAATTTAGGTCGATTTTACTTTGTTTTCGATATAAAGAATTTCCATCGAGTGTTTACCAAAAATTGAGAATGACGAAACACACTGGCCAGAATGGAAACTTTGTTTCTTGTGCGGACAAGCTAATTTTGAAAATTCACGACTGCGCGCCTAAAACCAGGTGTCTTCAAGTGCTGCTCTGATTGGTTTATTTTACAAGGCGAAAAATTTCGCAGCAAAAAAGTAGGAATGGTTTCTACTTTTTCGCAGCGAATTATTCGAATGCGAATTTTCTAATCTCTACTTCTGCGCATATTTTCCGCGCATTCGCGGCGAAAAATTCGCTTCGCACGATAAAATTCATCTCGTGTGAATCAGGCTTTAGAAAAAAGTAGTAGTTATAATCCAAAATGTTAACAAATAGGGATTTTGCGCGGCCAATATGCTAACGCGTAATGATGGAAGATATGATTGCGCGGGCAGTATATTGCGGGCGCGCGAGAAGTTTCTAGTCTTGTACACTGGTAAGAAATCCAGTGCCAGATTTTTTAGCAAAACATCTAAAAATGGCAATGAACTGTTTTCTACTTTTTCAAAAGTAAACTAAAGGGCTGGGCGATGACAATCAAATTGATTTAGAAAATATCAACATAACAAATGAAAGTGAAATAAACATATCTACACATATCTTGGTTCGATCCAGCAGATTTGGAGTCTATCCACATAAGATGAAAAAACCTCTATTGTGTAAACAAATAGAGTGCGTTTTCACCCTAGGACTCCATTGGTAACATTTTCAATAGACAAGCGGCACTGATTGGGCAACCAACAACAGTCATGGGCTCGCTTTTCTGATTGGCCTATTTCGATCCACAACTGTCTTTATATATTTCCGAGCGTAGTGTTTTGATCAAGAGTGTCAAACGAAATCTTTAGTATGACTAAAAATGTTTGGTTTTATTTCAAATCCATTTTGAAATCATTTTACTTTTGTGGAAATCTTGTACGCTATTCGCAAGAGTGAAACGCCCCTCGCAAATATCAGTACGCCCCTTACATATTCTAAAAAGCTAACTTTATAAAATACTTTTAATTACATATATTTATATACCTGTGTGTGTTCTATGCTATACAAAGACGTATTTCCATCATGAATATAAATCGTCTGAACAAGTTGAAGATTTTACGCCGAGTACATGTTTACAAGCCTGTCTGTGGTTACAAACATTTCCCAATCAAGTGATTGATACTGACCCAAAATTCAATATCAGTGTTCTTGGTGATTTTTTTGGCTGAAGATCAACGTATTTGATCTTTGAGGCATTCTCGAGACTCTGTAGATTTTCATCTGGGTAAGGTATTTGGGTGTGGTCATCAATAACATTCACAAAGTTGCCAAGTCAAAAGGTTCATTAAATGAAATGACAAAAATCTCCAGTCAAAAATTAAAGCCTGACAAAATTTTGGTTATAATTCACGAAAATATAAATTTTAACGGTCCATTTATGTTTTTCTGAGACGTCCAAAATTGACTACTTGCACAATGTTTGTTTTTTTTGATGTTCTCGTTTTCAACATCATGGAAACCAGCCAATCTAATTTGTAAAATGAAAGCGCGTAATTGACTTCATGCGATTTCTTTCTTCTTGAAATAAAAGAACTTCCTCCATTCTAACTCCATGGAATAAAAGATCTTCCTATGTCTTCATACATTACTGCACAGAATACTGCGTCCTGGAAAACTCATAATTCCAGGACGCAGTTATCACAGAATTCTGTGATAACTGAGTCCTGGAAATATTCCATTATTTAACTTCCAACCAGATTACAGTGCCATTGAAAAAATCGCATTTTATGCGATCCCCTTTGTATTTGTGTACTAGAGTGAGACCTCCAAAAGAGATAAATACTTAGGGAACGATCAACCCATTTGTCTTTTGCAACCTGAGTTCTGAGCTGAGAGACAGAAGACAACAAACAACGGTGAGCAAATTCGTCTTGATTTTTACTGTGTTGCGCTCAAACTCTAACATTCGATTGTTGCTACTTTGATTTGTCTTGATGCTTGTAATATCCGACTTATCCTTTCGTTTCAGTGTCAAGATGGGTCTTAAGTGGATCGCCATCCTTCTCCTCGTTGCAGCAGCATATGGTGGGTTGTTTGTCTTTTTATCCTTTTGTCTTTTTTATCCTTACTTATCCTTTTTAAAATCCTCAATTTTATACCTCTATGACTAATTTTATACCTCAATTGTCGACAATTCTTTGTAAGGACATATTTGACTTTATGTGATAACTTTGAACTTTCATTTTAGCTGAAGAAAATGAATATGACGAAGTTATGGGTGAAGAAAGCGATTCTGATTTCCCGGAGGAAAGTAAGAGCTCCATGATCAACTGTTTTGTTGGCTAATATGATTTCTTGTCTTTAGATCGACTCAGATTTGAAAACATTTTGATCCCTCTTCAACGAAGTAGCACTTGCATGAAAAAGTTGACTTAAAAATTGCCAGACTTGATTTTTGAACGAGGGGCAGAGACTCGGAATGAGGGATGCATGACGAGGGCGGCCATAGCCAATCCGGATAGGTGAGATGTTATACTGGATGACATGTGGCAGGAGAGTGTTCCCTGACCCCAAGCGACCTGTGATATGGTTACACAGTCAAACAGTCAAAAAAGTCATCGACGTGTATGACACGATGTTGCATTGTGTTAACATCGTGTCATTAAAATTTGAATTTTTTCAAATAAAAAAATTAATGTCAGTTTTTATTGCTTTCCAGTTGAAAACAATGAAGACGAAGAACTTGACAGTGAAAACAATGAAGATGAAGAGCTTGAAGACAAGGACGAGGATCCAGTAAAGGACCTCGACATGGAGGCGGATCAATACGGAGTATGTAAAAACAAGAGTAAGTACGCAGTTTTGTCGACGAAGTGCGCCTTTTGCTACTGCAAGTTGGCGAAAAAGGGAAAGGGTAGCAAAGAAAACGAAGCAGAAATGACGAAATTGGACCTTGATGAGTCTCTTGATGAAGCCTTGGAAAACACTCCCCCTATCAAACCCATGTCGACACATCATTTTATAAAGAAACTGGTTACGCCTTTCTTCGGAGACGTCGACCTGAAGCTCAAATGTCACTGCACAAAGAAACTTGAAGTTGTACAGTAAGATATATTCAACTTGTATCTCTTTTACTTAATACAGTTATCAAGTGGGGGGGTGGGGGTGGACTTGCTACAAGTCTCTCTTTTTTCCCTTTCTTTAAAGAGAGAGACTTGTAGCAAGTCCAGGGTGGGGGGGGCTTCAGGTCCCAATAATTGTCATAACGTACGTGTATCAATACCTTACGTTAATGAATCATGTTGACTATTTGCTTTTTTTACACTGAAGGCCTTTGATCTCCTCACCCATGCCCAATTTTTTCTGCGGTCCCTGGAAAGTCTTGCATTTGGGTCAAGAAGGGTAAAAGAGGTTAGGTTCCTGAGTACAAGCACAGAATCCCTAGCCGACCTAGCAAGGGAGCTGGCTACCTTGAATCAGGGTATCAAGGATCATCTGGGGTTTTTGTCAGTTATGTAGCACTTTTGGTGGTATCACTGACAAGAAATATTTTATTTTGTACCTCGCTTTACTGTCGCCTTTTTCTGTTATAATGTGAAATCCAGTGACAATAAACTGCAATCCTTTTGCTCCTGGTTTGGGATGCGAAGTTTAATGCTAAAGGAAAGAACACGAACAAATCATAAAAGATTTTTAAACTCCCGCTTTCAAACACGTTTTTCTTTATTGCAAAAAGTCTCAACTTTTAAAAATGTGATATAATTAAGAGAACTGGAAAGACGTATATTGAGTAGTACGAAGCAGCTTACAACGACATTCCAGGGCCTCTGACGAAGGGGGGCGGGGGCCTTGCTCCCCCCCACTTTTTTGCAAAACAATAGAGTTTTTTTCAAAATCTTTTGTTATGGGTGTTAAATTTTTCCTTGGCCCCCCCACTTTTCAACCTTTGTCGAAGCCCATGCATTCTAGCAATGAAGATAATGTTAGTTTTGTCGTTTCCTTGCAGCCTTTTGAAATTCATTCATGTAAGTAGTGCAGCAGGGTACATCCAAAAGAAAGTATACCACTCAACCTTCATGTATTTGGTGAAAAATGTCCAGAATCTGCATAAGAAGCCATAAGCCAGCGTCATCCAGACAGAGGAAGATCTGCTTTCAGATGTAGAGCTGCCCAGAGGAAGAGCTGCTTTCAATAGTTATTTCAATAGAATTTAACAATGTTGACAAGAACTCAAATAACATGTGCCCTTGACATTTTTGTAATGTTTATTGGCGGTTTTAATTTTTTTTAACATTTTTGCTGAAGAATAGAAAGTCGATAAGCTATTCTCTCTTTTTCTTTGAAACTCCGGGTCGGCTTGAATTCCTCGTTCATAAAATTTCTTCGTAAGAAATTTTTGACCACAGTTTTCGATTTAGCATCTAAAATATTTTAGTGCGGCTACAACTTTTCGATATAAAGTTTTTAGAGTGTGATCTACAGTTTTCTTATAACAACAAGTAAACTAAAAAACACCAAAGATTGCAAAGAGTTCCTCGTTATTGAGATGAGATATTTTGCGGGTGAGGATTCACAACATTGTTTAAAATTGAACTTTACAGTAGCTCAGCCTCTGCTGGTTTTTAATTTATTCTTTATATTTTAACACTGGCTAAAAAGTGTTGAACCTTCAGAGAGGTTTTCAAAACTGAATCGAGTTTCCTGAATCAGACACACAAGCAATCAAAGCCCTTTGGCAGAAAAATGGCACATTGATGCTTTGAGAAGTTATTGGGGGATGCCCCTGCCCCCTGTTCCGATGACACTGGCTTTCAAAGAAGAAAGTGGTGAAGATTCAATTATAAAAGACAAAAAAATCCAAAAGATCAGCAATTGCAGTGTCAATAAACAAGGGCGTACATTTTTTGGTTTGGAGGGGGTGTGAAGGAAACAAAATTTTCGAATGAGGAAGCCAATTGTAATTTTATACTAAATTGTTATAATCCTTTAATTACAGAATCCTAACACCATACGGCTCAGCCTCTTTCTTTCTGAATTGAAAGATTTCTTAGCATTAGCCTTATGTTACATTTTTTTATGAACTAAATAGGAATTGGGATTACGACTTAGATATTCCGATTGCGCTTAAATTTTGTGACAAATAAACAATCTCAAAACTTGGCAATGGGACACCCCAACACCCTCCGGGATTTACGTGCCTGACATTACCAACTGTTTTCCTTTTCTTAAAATCCTACATGACGTAGAGCCCTACGAAGGTTCCCCCGGTTCACAGGCACCGCGGAGCGTTGAAAAATTGGGGGGTCTAAAAAAGTGGGGGGGCTAAAACCGTATAAAAAGAGGCTTTCTGGTAGTTTGATACTTAATATTTGGCATTTTTTGCAAAAAGTGGGGCCAGGTTCATCATTGATCCTTTAAACAGTATTTTCAGAAGGGGCCCTGAAAAGATGAACTTTGGAGACCAACGTGCGGGTGGGTACTGGACTGGCACTGGGGAATCCAATATGGAGTGCCTCCGGCAAAGGGGGCATTTAAGCGTGGATCCAAAAAGTAGTCGAAAGATTTAAATTTTGAAACAGGGCTATACCAAATCATTTTAAACTTTTCAGGCCTTTTTGACAAGGCAAAATTCAACATAACGGAAAACATTGTTTTGACGGCGAAGACAACAAATTTGGCTGGATACAAGACAATCGTTTCCTTAGCAACCAAACAGGCAGGCAAAATCATGTCCTTAAACATGGCGGAAGTGCCAAGGCCATTTGCTATGAAGAATTCAGTGAAAATAATATTTTGTACGTGTGCCAGATATCATTAAAAAATGAAAGTTCGCGATTTACGGATTGCTAAAAGCTATCGTGATGCTGTAAAAAAATGGGGAGAGCCCAATGTACAGAGGAAAAGGACAATAATTGCACCACCAATGTCTGAAGCAAAGACTAAAGATGTAAACATTCAGCCGATGAAATACAAGGGAGAAGGAAACAAGGAAAGGAAACCTTTTGGATTGGTACAGGACCTTGATATTCTTCTCAAGCAAATAAAAATCGATGGTACGTTTAGCCAGGGTGCATTCCATGTACTTAGGCCCGAAGATCTTCAACCAACCATATCTTTAATTTACACTGTTGATAGTTTACAAATTGATTGGGTATTTATCAAACTCAAGCTTAACTGAAAGCTCAGCTCAAAACTCAAGCTTAAAACTTTTGTTCAGTACCAATTGATAATTGAAAATATACATTATATATACTTGCTACTGATTGTTATAACTTCTACTACATTATGAACAAAATCTACTAAAAGCTACAGTTGAGAAGGTTTGCTGACGGCCACATACACATGCAGAAAACTCTAGCTATCAAGATATCGATCGAAGCCATGTGACCAGTTCTGGTGATAAGGGCGCTAGGTTGCAAAATGTTTGGTTTGATGCTCAAACAGCAAGAATAAAAAAGCATTAGAAGTTGATAAGAATAACGGAATAAAATCAGTTAAATTATCTGCGAATGGTATTATATTTATAGGTTTTGTCAAACCTTGATTTTCCCACGTTGCTTGTTGGTAACACAATTTATGTATTAGGAGGGCTAGAAACAATTGAGTTGGGGCATAGCATGCAGAAAACCAAGGTCAAAAGGATTTGTTGTATGATTTAAAGTAGAGTAGATTTGAGATTTTTGGGAGGGCAAGAAGACTTTATACATTACGTTTATGTACCCTTTGTCCCCTTCTGCTTCCATGATGATTTCAAAGTAAAATCATGGATTTTGTAGCTGTATTGTTGAAAGCCAAATTTTGATAGTTTCAGTCAATCAACTTTGCCATGAAAGATAAAAAGCTGCTTTATGAAATAATTGTTCAATATTCTTTTATGCAATTTCTTACTCCTGCCATAATGACAACACCTGAATTAAAATTCAGCCTGAATTCTTCTTCATGTGATTTTCAACATCCATTTCAAGATGAAAATCTAAATGGAAAAGACAAAGAAAAATTCACACAAGATTTTCTGGAGTACAAAATTTGGATTGAAAAAGAGAAGAGGATGCGCAGTGACCTGAACAATATTGGCCTAAACAAGGATTTTCTTCTTAATAAAAATGGAAGAACAGCTTTAGAAGAACGAGTTTTGAGAAGATTATTGTCTCCTGATGATGTAACAGAAGAGGAACATGATGACTCACCTGTAAGAAAGTTTAAGCTGTTTTAGTTTTTGTATTATATATATCTTGCAACACAAAAAGTAACAGTTTTTCAAAGGAAATATCATTGATTTAAATTTTTTTATAATATTTTAGAACTGATTCATTTTTTGAATAAATCATTTGAAGTATCATTTTAGTTGCCATTATAATCACATTGTTAGGAAAATTAATCTTTTAAAACATAGTTTATCTTAAGACATTCATTACTCCTAGTTTTGTCCTCAATGCGATCAAGAGACCCTGGTAATAGCATTAAGCTTAAAACCTGAAGCAGCAACTGAGGGTCAAAGAAGGCCAAAGCTAAAATGTTAAAAAATTACCCTCAAATGGTAGTCTTTTTTGACAATACCCCTCAAATGGTAGCAGAAGGATGGAAATTATGTCCTTGGTAGCATCCATTTCTTTGTGCAAGCCTGGTCCTTCTTTGACAAATTTATTTGCCATTGACTACTTGTTCATTGTCTATAATAAATTGCAAGCTAAACTAGGCTGTTGTGTTATTATCAAAACTGGGCCATGGAACCCCTGTCAGGCCTTAATGGGAGTACCCCCCTCCCTGGGAGTTATCTTCGCTATTTCCACCTTTATATCGGTAGCAACCATTACTCTTTGTATTAGTGCCAAATTAAATTATATTAGAGCAAATATGATGGCAACATTTTAGAGTCAGAAGCAATAAAAAATCTGTACTCCAAGCATCAGCCAATAAAAAATGAGAGGATGGACCAGCATTGCAACTTTTATTTAATAGATCTTATGACTGTCTGTTTATTTTACAGGAAATTGAACCACATGTAATTCCTACACCACCACCCTTATCAAAGGCACAAATGCGTCTGTTGCCATTGTTACAACAACCTTTGCCAGTTGCACTTTCAATTATTGCTGAATACTGTCATAATCACAAACTCCGGTTGCTTGATTTGTATTCCCAAATTGACAAGGACAAAGACTGGCAAATCTCAAGGGAAGAGTTTCGTAAACTAATCATCAACAACGAGATCCCACTTACATCTGCACAGCTTGAGGACATGATCATAGCCCTTGATGTTAATAATAATGACCAACTAGACTACAAAGAACTAGCACAGGGAGTGGAGGCTTACCATATCGATGAAAGGTTTGAAGAGTACAACACATTTTCTTCCTTGCCTGCATCAGACAGGAGGTTAAACAGTTTAGCACAGCTAACCATGCAAAAGATCAAAAGCAAGCTTATCTTTGTACTGTTTTTAGTTTATTTATGAACAATTTGGGGGATTAAGCAGACACATAACTATCATTATAGAGGACATGGGGGTAACACCTCCCAGAACAAAATTCTCTTGGCAAATCACTGCTGTAATTGGCAAATCAAGGAAACTGCTTCACTGAGAATTTAATCATGAAAATTTTTTTGGGAGTACAGAATTTGAAAATGGTTTCGAAAAAAGCAAACATTTTACAACATACTACTTAATACTTTTTTGTCTGACACTCCTTTGAATACAAAATGTCAATATATGTATTTTCCATTGTGCTTTTTCGAACCTTTATATCTACAGCAATCATGCCACACCCAAATTGTCAACTGGTCTATACCTGTCCCTGCCTCCTTAGTAAAATTCAGTTCCAACTGCCATGAGCATGCACTTTACTACAGTAGAGAGTAGCCTTATGCATTTCACCATGATGATATTTGAATATAATTTACTCTGTATTTTCAAAGGTGGCAAAAGATTAGGGAGCTTATGCAAATAATGGAAGCCCACCAAGAGGCAAGTGAAAAAACTAAAAAACAGAAAGATGGAACTTCTGAAGCATCTTATGATAACAGAATTACATCCGCAAGAAAATCAACAAGAAGTCAACAGAATTCGGCGCAAGGGACTCACAACGAGAGAAAATTGTCCTCAACACTTAGAAGCAGAACCATCAGGTCTGCAAGAGCTGGTTTAAGAGATTCAAAAGATGATATTGGCGATAGAAGAACATTGTCACTGGGGTTCTTGCAACTACCAGCTGTTGAGACAAATGAAAAAAGCGATTCAACAGCAACAAAGGTATGGATGGCAGTAGAAGTAAAGTTATTAAACAAATCAGAAATGGCACATTGATTGCACATGCAGAATTATTCCATTGCTCACAGTGCCTCTGCTTTCTATGGCAAGGAGTCGTGATTGCCACAGAAATATTTTCCTTGTTGATGTTATCGTTAATAGTCTTACGAAGGTGATTAGGTTTCACATATACTAAGGATATTTGACGTGAATATAATGCTTTTTTAGACTAGAGACAGGCGTTTGAAAAAGCACAGAGAACGCAAGGAAAAGACCAAACAAAGAAATAAACAAGCAAAAAGTAAGGAATTCTTGCCATCGACGATAGAAGGCATAACTGGACAAATGAAAGACAAATATGCCGAAGCAATTGTCGGTCAAGTTGGGAAATCCTTGGATATGATGCATACAAATGGCATACCCGTAAAGGAAGAGGCAGTTAAAAGAGGTGAGCGCTGTTGAAGAACCTGATTTAAAATTCTGAACAAGCTGGTCGAAAATCTTATAAAGAAACGAGCGATAGTGATATAGAATGACAATACTAGGTAATACGAAGGGTCGATGTGCGGCCACGTTTTGGAAATTTCTTAACAGTTCATCGAACGATTTTTGACCTAGAATTACTAACTTACTTTTAGTCTAATTAACATTTTCTAATTTCTTGTGCTTAATTTTAAAGATTTTAAAACGATTAAGAATTTGAGAATTTATAGGGAGCTTGACCGCAAACATAGTTTTGGGTGAAACTCTTCAATGAAATAATCAACGCTTTGAAAATAATCAATAAAAAGCAATATAACGAAAATTGTCATAGTCTTTAGCGCAAAATGGTTCGTGGTTGTCATGCGCCTATCAGAAAACTGTCTAGACACGAAACTTGGAGTTGAAGCTCAGAGGCGTCTTGTTCTACTCGATCAAAGCTCTGTCAATTAGTTATCATGGACCACACAACAGTCAGAGGCACTTTTTATAGTTAGTGATCGCCCTGGGTTTCTGGCCGTACAAAAGCCATGCTCTGCTTTCATTGTTATGGGTGCATTTTAATGAATTCATATGTTTCACTAAAAACTCGTATTTCTTTAACAGTTATGCTGTTCCCGTTTGACAAGCCTGTGGAAGACTGCAAAGTTTCAATGCGACAGCCAGGCACATATGCCATTTCAAGCACTGACTTTGGATATGCTCTTAACTTGATACCCCAAGCAGATCAAAGGAAACAAAAAGGTGGCAAGGATGATGTTTATGATGATCAAGATTCTACTGTGAAGAAACGGAGGAAATCAAGTCAGAGAAAACGGCAATGGTTACAATCAAGGTAGATGCTTTTAGTCTCACAAACAGAAAATATTATAGTAGACCAGCAAGGGACAATTTTAGAATATGAATGGTTACATTGCCCGCCAATCAAAGTATCTATGGAAAAAACTGTGACAAATTTTACACTCTCCTTCGACTAGATTTCGCGTGATTTCCTTATTTTATTATGATAGCTGTATTTAAGGCCAAAATTGTATCAAGGAGCAAATTAAATTGTAAGTTTATTCAGAAATCAGGTTTTATTCTTGGGATACAACATCGCTCTTTTTTTCAATTCCCAGAATTAACAACAGAACCAAATTTAAATGATATAGAAACTTGAAATAAATCTACAACAGGGCCCAAACCTATTTGGAAACTATATAATTTCTTTAGATTTAAACACAGGTGAAGTAGTCGAATATCAAACGGAAATGGAAAGTCAGAAAGTTATTATAAATTAACACTTATCTGCCGTCATATTTTTTGGGAAAATATTCCAGAATTTCGTTTCATGGAACTCCTAGCCAACTGATCTTTTTATTTGCCTTGTGACATTCTCTTTCAGTGACTTTGCCTGAGAGCCTTATATTTACATCTTTATCATTCTGTGAAGTTGGATATGATATATTCCTATCTGTGGATATCTTCGCAGCACCACGTGACTTACGTACTCTATAAATAGGCCGATCTTTCATCCACTGTTTCATACTGCACCCACCATGCCTACTCAGCATTTCCATATACAAACATTTTCATGCAGAAGGCTTCAGCGTCATTTCTTCATTCAAGCTTTCTCACACTAAGAATTCTGCTTTTTCAGGAAAATGAGTCCATTCTGGACAGACACAGTACATGCTTTGTCAAGCGAAGACCTTGATGGCCGGAGCCGTCAAGATAGCCTATTCAGTGTTGTGAAGACACCAGAAATCTAATGGAGCAACTTTAAAGACTCAGCGAGGGCGGATTTTGCAGGAATTGAACAAAGAGAACTTTGCAAAGCTATACGTATTACAGATCTAGGTCACTGACAGGGCCAGTACATAACCATATATTAATATATTTTTCTACAAACTGTATGTTGATATTTAGTTTAATATAGATATTTTTCATAGATATTTTATATTTATACCTTTATAGAGCAGCAATACAAAGTTCAGAAATTGTTTGCCTTGATATTAGATTTATTTTTCTCAAATATTCTTGTATTGATTCTTTGTGCTGCATGAGATGTTAGTAATCTGAAATAGAGGACACGATGCTAAACATCTTGTTCCGTTATTTTTAGCGACTTGATCCGTCATTCCTAGACAATGCTGAAAATACCTCAAGTGTTTGTCAGCAGAAATTCATTCTTTAATATTTAAGAAAATAAACAAAAGTATACAAGGATAGAAATTCATGACCGTAACAACAGTTAGCAGAGTAGAAGGCACAAGATCGAGGTGCGAGAAGGAGGAAGTGAAGGCCAGCTACTAGCAGTGACATGAAGCGCTAATATGATTATGATTATGATTATGATGATACCAGTCAGTGGACCTCATCTTAAACGGGAATCGCATTGTCAAATAAAACTTTAAGTCACTTATAAAATGCCTAAAGATTGTTTTCAGTCGGAAAGACCTGTTTTTCATCTTAACAAGAAAAGTGAACCGAGTGGAAAGAGGAATTGATCAAGGAAAACAATAAAAAAATATATGAAACAAGTCTAACTATCGGGCCTTGACATGGTTTTTGTTGATGAGTAGCATCTCGGCAGCAGCCTCCCTTTGCACTTCCAAGCCATTGAGAGGTTATTGAATTATTTAATAGCTGCTTAGAACGGGAACAGTAAAGTTGCAAAAACTAGAGTGGTGAGATAGTAGCAATAGAATCACCTTAATTGAAAATAGCTTTGACGTCATCTTTTATGGCGAATTCTCTGGCTGTAACACCGTGTATGTCTGGATGGTCTTTAACGTGTTGGGTGAAGATAAGCTCCTTCACAATGTCTGCCTTCCCAGCAGCAGCGGCAAGATGCAGGGCTACAAACATAACAATTTTTCAGAAAAATAGCTAAAAGATTGTTTTTTTAACTGCTACTAAAATACTAATATATGAAAGAGGTGAAATTTAAAAATTGATGAAGTTTGATGATTGGAAACTGATAATTGGTTGTTTGCATTTGAAAGTATAAAAAATGCTAATTAAACCTTCACGTATTGTTACCAAGAATAATGATAAACGCAGCAAGTTGACGTACTGCTCAGATCTTCTGGTTTAAAATTCTCCTTATTCTTACTTAGCAATGCGATTTTAAGAAAATAAGAAACCAAGGTATCGAGCTTATCAACAATGTTTACGACATATATATCTCTTGTTGCGTTTGCGTCACATCCCAACCCATTATCTGACGTTGCAGGTCTTAATGTCAGCGGTAAATTCTGCATATATGCGCTGCCATAGGAGCATGAAAGCTGTGAATTCAGAATAAGTAACAATTGAAGTTTACCCTTGGACAATTGTTTCCGAAAGTGCTTCACTTGAAATGAAATGTACACGTGTTAGCTTGTTGATATATTTCGTAAAGTTGGCGCAAATGGCGGGATGCTTAGGGGTATTTTAAAGCAGAGCGTGCTCAGTACCCTAAGGGACTTCACTCTCAGGCAATTCTGTAGCGTGAAGTGATAACTCAAAGGATATTTGGAGATCACTGCAAACAAGACTACAAGACTTGCACAAGAAATTCACTTACCGCTTCTACCTTTGCTGTCAACAGCTCGAGGGTCTCCTCCATGGCTTATAAGACTCCGCAGCAGCTCTAGATGGCCTTCCTAGAATTATAGAAACGGGAAACTCATAGCGTTTATGATGGAAATTTGTAACTGAAAGTTTTGAGCACTTCTATCTTTCAACAACACTCCCAGACCTGGTAAAATCAGCCTTAACTGACTGATATATTTCAGCAAATATACAAAAATTCAACAAAATAGTCCAAACAGTGACGAAAGATCTTGTAAAAACTAAAAATACTAAAGGAAAATGGCTATATCCGAAAAGGCCATTACTAGGTTTCCTAGAACTTGGTAGCCTTACAAAAAGCTTTCCCAGATGGAAGATGTAAGAAGCAGTTTTTCGGAACTTCTAAAAATTTAATACCAGCAGATAGCGGGTTTTTCGGTACTAAATTTATTAAGAAAAGCTGGCAGTAATATCAACTATATACTTTCTCAAAGGTTTGTTAAATTTAAGCTCCGTTTGCATCCATGCCTTAGTGTTTGTTGGCCAATGTACATAAAATGTGCATATCCCGCCTGTGTTGTGCACTGAATCTTGAATTCCATGTCGACAAATAGCTCGAAAAAAATGGCTAGAATCTACTAAAACTCTAAGATTTGGTGTTTTTTTAAAAAACTCTCAGTTTTAAAGGGCTGGATTCATTGAAAATAGCACATAAAAGCCGAAATATAGCATACTTTTAAAAAGGTTTCCCAAGCTTGCCTGCTGTTTTGTGTTTTTGCGCTCTTTTCTTATATAGCCTGCGCGCTATTTGTGTATGTATTATCTTATTAGCTGTGTATGTATGGTAACAAAAGTTTATATAGCCTGCTTGCAGACTTTTTAAATTTTTTAATGCACTCAATTATTGGCCTTTTGCCTTTGCACTTATTGCTAAATTGAATGGAGGAGAAAAGATTTTCCTTCCTATTGAATTCATTGAATTTTATTTACTTACTTATAAAATACGTATTTTCTATTCTGTGCTTCTGCTCTGGGTGCTTGGAGAGCACAGATTGTTTAAGAGTGCCAATTTGATCGAATGAAAGATAAGAGAGCGAATTTTATCGTAATAGACCAGAAAGTATTGTAACCAGTTTTGAACGGATTTATCAAAATCGGAATTGTATATAGATTTTAAATAACCAAAGTGTTTTGTTGTTCCAAATTTTGTACATCATTTGTTGAACTCAGCGCCGAAAGGGCAAATTGCTGCCTTTTTGAAAACATACTAATGTACAAAGTAAGGACCACCGCAACGCGCCGAGAAAAAAAAACAATAAACACACAAAAATAATAATAGCTAATAAAATATACCATACTTATGTAATTTTCGTTCACAAAGCATTAACGTCGAGACTTTTAAGCTTGGTTTCCACTATGAGTTAACGTGAGTTAATTTGAGATTATTTTGTGATCTGACATGGTTTAAAAATTATCTCATAGTTGAAAACAGTTTTCTTTTCTTAAAGAAAAATCAATTGTGAAATAAGAGAAACATGCTCTCATTTCGAAGCTATTTCACATCATCTCAAGTTAACTTGAATTTAGACCGTGAGCTAATTTTCAATTTGACTCGTGAACAAAGCATGGAATTTTTTTAGTACAAAGCATGGAAGGAATCGAGGGTGAATTTTTGACGGCAGTAAAGGAATGAAGAGGAATGAGGAAGAGGAAGAGGAAGAGGAATGAAAAGTCACGAAACAATGGAATACCACTCCAAACGCTTTTGTTTGATTAGCCAAGTGTTAATGCGACATATGCCCTTTAAATAAAATTTGAGTTTGACGGCTGCTGATTGGTCAGAAAAAACGAACCAATCAAACGCACCATTATCCACTCATGTTAGTTTTGATCAGCACATGGACATAAATTACACTGTGGAGTGTCGGTCGAAAAGTACATTTGACAATTTCATTACGCGATGTATCTATATAATTGCAAGACTCATTTGACATCATTCAAATAGAAAAATCCAGGATTAAACCAAAATCTGATCAGTTTTATCGCGATCGCCTCTAATAGTGCGTTTTTATATGGAACACGTTACCTTGGCTGCAAAGTGCAACGGAGTCATTCCATTTGAAGTTGTCTTTGCGTTCACGTCTAAACCTTGTTCTGTTATAAGATATTCACTCGATACCAGTTGGCCAGCCTGTGCTGTAAGATGTAGCACAATGCGCCCCAGATTATCTCTTTCTCGAACATCAGCCTAAGATAATGCAAAATGCTATACATTATTCTGCAGAGGTGCCATACAGACAAAGCTGCTAACGTCTCCGTGTGTTTAAATCAAGCCATTAAGTGAAAAACTAGGGGCTGCAAGTCAGAACTAGACTAAGACGCATGAATCTAATAGTAACGCTATACGCTCATTTTAAGCTTCGTAGGCCATACAAATTCTGATTTAAAAAGTAATTTAAGCAAGCAGTAATAAAATTATATTCGGGCAGAAATAATCTCAGTACAGAAATATTCAATAAATCAGTTCTTGCGTCAAAAATTCACTTGAAAGTGGACCCAAAAACTGTTATTTGGAATGACAATTTACCTTGTGCTCTCTAATGAGAAAAGCTGCAATACTGGCGTGCCCAAATCTCAATGCATCCATTAAAGGAGTTGTTCCACAAGAATCTTTCATGTCCCTTTCATATTTACACCTGCAACAATGCGGAACAACGGCTACTTACTACCTTGCCACAGTACCAATTTGAAGCCTAATTCACTCTTTCAATCATATACTTGAATTTTACGGTTGTTCTTATCAAGCACCTAAAGTAGATTATTGAGGACAAACACTGGTTAAGTTTCATCATGGTTTCATGTTTAGTAAAGGAACCCTAGATGAGCAAAGAGAAGAAAGAGCGTAACATCATTTGAATCTGTTCGTGTTCCTAGCCGCTAAACAATGTACCAACAAGGCGTAGATATTCTTAGCATATTTCAGATAAAAAAGGGGGCGATGAAACTAGATGAAGGTACTGCTGGACAGGATTACAAAAAAGACTTAGTTACGCTAGCTGGGAGGAGAAGCTGGAAAAAATCAGCCACAGAAATATTTGTTAAGGACCAGAAAATCTTACTCAGGACCAGATAACTAGGAACAGACTCAATTAAACTAGTAAGCACCTCTTTACCGGTTTCGGCTGTCAGGATTAAGAGCATTTTCTATAAATTAACATACGAATACCGTTTATAATCCCAAATATGACGAACGTCATGATACAACAAACAATCACCATTTCTAGTATAACGAGCCCTCAGTCTCAGGAACTCCCGTTATAAAGAATGACTTTGTTGGTTCCCTCCAAAGATCAATATATCAGGATTCCAAAGCATGCGAGAAGAAGCACGGCTGTGTGCTACGTTTATGTACACTAAGCGCCACAACGAACTACATTATTGAAACAATTCCTTTAATGTTGGGAAACTGTAGACGAAAGAAAGAAATTGTAGAAGAAAGGTAGTCAACTTTGATGTCTCGTGTCATCTTTGAAGTAAACCTCCGATATTTCAATATACGAATCAGTCATTTCTTGGGCAATGTGTGTACAATGAATAAAAATATCCTTTCTAAGCCAATCAGAGAAGGCATACACGAAAGATTTTCAATTCTATGTAATCCAACACAGCAAATATCATCTCAAAGGACCTTGCGGGAAACAAGCAGCCTATGAGGCTGCCAAAGTCATCAGTAGATCAAAAAGTTCTAATAAAAGTGACAGTTTTTCAAAACTTACTTGTGCACAAGGAATTCCACATTTTCATACTTTCCATGCATGGCTAAAAGTAAAATTGTAAATTAAATTACAGTTAACACTGAAGTCTATTTATCATCTCAAAATATAGCTTCCAAAGTAATTTGCATGGTTTTCTCTTGAACAAAGAATATCTATTAAACAAGGTACCTTTCATTTTCTAAACTAGGTACAAGGTTTCCATTCCGGACAAAAATAGTTGACACTTTATGTTTTCTCTTTCTTTTGAAAAATAGCTTTCCCCCTCCCCCAATTCAATGTTGAATGCTTGATTTTGTAGCAAAAATGTAGACAATTACATCGAAAGTAACGAGAGAGTTCAGAAAAGGTGTATGATTGGTTCTATGTTTTTGACAAATCCCAAACGCTTATCTCTACCTTGTTGAAGAGTCAGAGAGCAAAAACGAATTATTTCTGAAACTTTTTTAATTTTTTTCTGATTGCCCACTTGTCGTTTCTTATAGCGTGTTTCTTTTAAAAAATGAGTGTATTCGTAACACAAATTTCTTACTTGACAATGTTGTGTAACAATTCTCATTCTTGCTATTTTACGCTATCTGTTGTTCCTTTCCTGCACAACCATTTACTATTCCATTGCTAGTTGTAACAGGTAAAACTATAGTTTGTTAACATTTTGTGTAAAAAAAACGGAAACTTCCTTTATAACGATATTTAAAAAAACCATATATCTCTTTGACACGACGTAATTTATGAATACCCTGATATAAAGCGGTAAGTAGTTAAAACATTAGAGAGTGAGACGCCCTTGCAAAATATTTTTGCGTGTCCGGGAAAGGCCTGCTTTAACAGGTACAGGGTTAAGCGGAACTCTGATAAAAAATATCATATTTGCAAATATAGCATGCTATTTGTGACAGAAATGTTTGATAATCTTGAAAGATCTCAAAGGAAGTAAAAATAAAACACAGCGAGACCCATATTGACAGACAACTGCCAATTGGAGCAAAAGTCAAAACATTGTTTTAGAAGCCTCCTTGCAACGCAAACGCACTGTCCTACCAAGGCCAGAAACCCTTTTTCCACAGACGTAGGAGGCTCCACTTTGATGCAACATAAAAAAAGATTTTGGGTTTAGGAATCTTTTTAAAATCTATATAGAAATGTTTAAGATTTACGGAGCACGTAGCTTTCTTAAGAAAATCTATAACTGACTACACATAATCGCTAGAGAGCAGCAATAATTCAACAGTATTTATAACATCTAGCTAGTAGAGCCAGTTCTTTTACAAAAAGAGCACTTTTGTAGGGAAAATTCTTTTATTTTAGTCAAAGCAACCTTAGAAAGCTGCCTGAATAAGGATGTTAATATATGTTTTCCTTCTATTAACTTTGTTACAAGAAAAATCACACTCACCAGCTGTGTGTAATGGAGTCCTTTTATTTTTGCTTGAAGTGTTCCAAACATCTGCATTGATTTGTAACAGCATTGATAAAATGACTGTGGTTCCATCTCTAAATGGAAGTTATTTGCACATAGATCAATTCTAAAGTTTTCCCGAATAACAGGAAACAATATCAAAAGAGAACATAAAAATAGAAATAAATTTTAACCAACTTTTCATGCATCATGGCTGTCTCTTCTAGCAAACATTTGATAATTCAAAGGAAAAGAAAACACTGAAATTTATATTAGGAAAAATTTGAATGGTAAAGCAAATGATTCATCAAACTTTGTTATATTAAACTTCAATAGCAAAGAATGCAGGAAAGATTGCAATATGAACTTTTTGCATTACATAAAGCTTCAAACTATCCTAAGCAGTGAATACACTGCCCATTCAGTCTATAAACTCAAAATTTGTCAAAAAAGCTACATGGCATGGCCTATCTTGATTTACCTTGCAGCAATATGAAATGCATTCCACCCATCCTTGTTAAGCCTTGTGACATCAGCACCCCATTCCAGTAGCTTTGCAATGACATCTGTGTGGCACTTACTGCAAGCCAGCATAAGAGGTGTCCTGTGATGAAAGGCAAAATGAGTTTCAAAAAAACAAAAAATCACTTTATTCAAAAAAGAATATTTTTAAAAAACTGAAATACTTTTAAATATTTGTAAAATGAAGCTGGCTCACTGGTGAACTAAACACCTAAAATTTGATATCATTTACTTAAAGAAGTTGAACATTTATGAATACAGTGAACAAGATTTCTTAGGAGGGGGTATGCAGTAACCTCTGGGCAGCCCTAAGGTATCATGGAGAGCAATTATTAATTTAGCATACCAAATTGGCAATATTCTTCAACATAAAAGTGCAATACTGGTGTCAACTTAATTTTGCACATAAGACCTAAGGCCAGCCCACAAAAGAAAAGGATGGATCAAAAGGTCTTTGAAACAGGTAAAACATGTTAGAAAAAATCCAAATAAGTCAAATTTTGAAAGAATAAACACTCTGAGAGAAAATTCCTATGAGTCAAGTAAATTATTAAGGTTATGAGCTTAGTATCTTTGAAAAAGAATATAACTAATGATTGACAATGATTTGCTTTTGTCTTATTAGCAAACAGATAATGCTATTATGTTAGTTTGCTGAATATCAATTAACACATTTTTTCATCTTGAATCAAATTTTTTTCTTGTTATATTCTTGAAACATGATGCCAATAAATTAATAGAATAAAAACATCAAAAAGCATTATTCCATACCAATCAGCTCTTTTTAAAGCATCAACATCTGCTCCAAACTTAAGCAGAACTTCCACACACTTTGAATTCCCATTCTGAGCAGCATCATGAAGAGCAGTTTTCCCATCAAAGTCGCGGTGCTCAACATCAGCAAATTCCTCTAACAAATACATAACTAGGTTGTGATGGCCATATCTTGATGCCAATTTCAATGGTGTATCTCCTGATTTTTTGTGTGTATAGTTAACTTCATATTTTTGTGATGAACTGATTAATGCTTTTATTTCCTGTAGATTGCCTTCCACAGCCAATTTCAGCATTGGTATTTTGGCATATTTTTCTTTATCAATCTTGTAGCTTGTCGACATCCTCTGAATGACTTTGCTTTAAGGTTGTTTAAATCATCCTGTAAGTTTAAGTGATATTCAAGATTATTATGATATTTCAGTTTCTTGACACCATACCTAAATGAAGATAGCTGTTTACTAGTAACAAACTGCTCAATATTGCATAGACCAAGCTGCTTTGTGCAACCAGGGGCGTAACTTGGCCAATAGTTTTGGGGGGGGGTGAAAAGGGTTTCTGCCCTGCAAAACTGAGTGGTGCCCTGCAGACCTCGTAGCAACGGTTTGTCTATAGGTTACTAGTGAAAGCTTTACCAGTGTACACTGGTCTTTACCAAGGACAAACTCCTAAGCAAAAAAAACAAACTTGAAACTTCATTACCTATGAAATTTCTATTTCTCTACATGAGCGTAAATTGTTTTTTTATATTCACTTCATTTAATGTTGGTTTGCAAAATTAAGCTGATAAACAGCTAATTGGAGGGTGGGGGTGGGTACATGATGTAGACAGCGCAATTTTAGTGAGGTAGGAGGACCCACCATGGTTGGGTCCGATGTGAAGAATTTTTTTGAAATTATACCTTGTGAAAAGGGCTAAAAAGCATCTTTCAGACAAAAATTTAGCAAAATACTATTGTGCTAAAAGAATTGATTGTTTATTGAAAATATTATTGTTAATTGGGAAAAAACGGGAGGGGGATGTCATGCTAAAACTCTAGTGCTAGACGTTGGGGAAGGAAAGAAACGGCAACCTTTCGTTTCAGATTGCACGTAGTTGTGAATGACAGAGGAAGATGTTGTTTTGATTGGGAGAATTTTTTTTCCTGAACAGAAATGTGCAGTTTCTTGTATCAAGAAGGCCATGTTTACACATCCAAAATTAAAACATTGTAATGATACAGAAAATGATTTACTGAATTAATGCAAATAAAAGAAAAATATACGTGAAAAAGTTAGCAATTAGATGAAACAAAACCGGTATCTTAACGATTTATTATGTTTTTTAGTTCATGCACTGTTAAAAAGTAATAGAAAAAATGATAAAAAAATTCCTATCTTGACCAAAGTGAAGGACTTCAGCCCCATATTCCCCCCCAGTGACGCCGTGCTTGTAATGAAAATAATTTACAACTTAAATTAATTTGCATGACTCAACCTTGCCCTCATAAACATATGCATCAATCATTGCATCCATTGGCTATGACTTTCGGTAAGAAATGCTTTCGCTTTGCAAATAACGGAGCTTTTCCTTACATACCTGTTCCGTTCTCTAAAATGCAATGTCAGGAAGGGAGGTTCATAACAAATACGATATTTCCATTTCAAAATTCCTAAACGGCTCTTTACAAACTTCAGAGGTGGCATTTCTGTGTGGCAATAAAGCTCTTCTTGGCGCCCTTCGAAATCTTCGATTGCCCTGCGAAATCGACTATTTTTTGGATTGGGGGGGGTGTCACACCCCCCCCCCCCAATCCAACCCCTCCGGTAGTTTCGCCTCTGTGTGCAACTCAGTACTGTCCTGCTTTACACATCAAATCATATACAGGTTCTATAACATCATTTTCTATCAAAACTATCTTGTTTTATAACAAATGTATAGAACTGTCCTGTTTTATACACCAAAAACGTCTACAGCTGTGCCTACACAGCATCAAACAGTATATGACAGACCAATAAGCAGTAATTTTCAAACCATAAGCAGACATTTATATATAAGATTCTAAGGGAAACTATACCTGGTGAAAGGAAAACAGGATTTGGAAAGATATCATGGGAAAACAGACATACAACGTTGCTAGCCGGGGATTGTCTCTGGTCCTGGTCAGGTCACTCGAGAGATAATTCTCTGAAAACAAATATTTTTTTGTTTATTCTGAAAACAGAGAGAGCTTTTTTAAAGTCTCAACTATTGGCAAAGTTTAGGCTGAGCTCTGAATTTGTCTGAAAATTGCTCAAAACAAATAAGATATAGAAACTTCTATACAAATTTAACTCCAACTTTACATATTTCATGTTGACATCATTTTAAGGGATGCAAAAATGCTAATAAAACTCCTTGAACTCTCTAACATGTGCATTACTTTTTCATTTATCTATAACTAGAATTTTCCCCTGCAAGGTAGGAAAGCATGTACCATTTTGCTGACACCTTGCTGCGACCAACGACACATCATCAGCTTAAACGTTTAAATCATTGTTAAAATTATTTTCCGTGCACCAGAAGGGTGCGGCACCACCAAAATCTGATCATTGTCAATCAAATACACCCTCTCCCCGACATTTATTTATTTCATTTTCTAATTTTTTCTTTTGAGGAGGGTTGCCCTTCAACAAGTTGATTTTCAAGGGGCCCTCCGATAAAAACTTCACTTACTTTAACTATAACTATAACAAAACACAAAGACAAGACCACCTTCCAAAATTAGCTCGCTGCTGTAGCCTTGCTGTCCTTCATAATATGACTGTAGATTTTACCAAGCTTTAGGGACATCATAATTGAAAAATACGATATTTCAGCAGAGAAACATTCTGAACTAAACTTTTCTCCATTTCAAATTCTTCGCGAAAAATGTCAGATAGAGGCTTCTTCAACATGCGCGCCAGCCTCGTTTGTGTTTGTCATCAGTAGAACATTTTTTGAAGGCAAATGATTAGAGAGGAGAACATTGTAAAATAAGACAAAATGACACTCAATAAGTGGCCATTTCCGAATAAGATTGGGAAAGCATGGCATTTAAAGAGCTGCTTTGCAATGTTTGCTGTTGGAATGTGGAGTAAATTTATGTTAAGTATGTATCATTTATGGAAAGCAATAACACCTCTCTATTTTGTGTTTTCACACACAGGGAAATTCAATGACTGAAAGTTGAAATTAAGCTTTTCTTATTAATATGATCTCAACCTGGCCTGGGTCACTAGATGGGGGACTGGGGCACATTTTCCCATAGGGGACCTCAAAAAAGACCTTAAAATCGTAAATCTTTTTAAAGGATCGCAAGAAAATGACTGCAAGAATTATTCTGGAATGTATTTTAAGCTGAAATTGAGGCTGTGGTCACAAATATTTTATGCTCCCTTTCACTTGCAGGGCCACATCCTTCAGCTTTGCCCTAGGACTGAGAAACGTCTTGGTAGCCCAGATCTCAAGAGGACCTCTCAATTTATAATGACATACTTATTTCAATCACTTTTGCAAACAACTTAAGAAAGGCATTTTGCAATCTTTAAAAACCTATATGAATCTATGCAACACCCAAAACCACCTCCAAGCTCAGCTTATCACTTGGGTGTGCAAGAGTTAGTGAAACAAGAAATATGCATTGTTGTGTGATTTTTGATGCCCTTCATTTGCTAACAAATCCATCAAACAGCTAGCTTGTCATTTCCATTTTGTGATGCATCTTATTTTACATGCTGAGGACACAGAGCCAAAGAAAACAAAGAGTGACTATCCTTGAATAAATTGCAAATAAACATTTACATGCATTATGCAAAAATTAATTGCTAAAGCTATGACAACAGTTGTAGATGAAAACAAATGGAAGGAAGGGCTAGGCTGTTAATGATGATGCAGTGAATAACTGAGAAGAAAGATAGGATTAGTGTGTTGTTGTAAGTGACATACTTTGATTATTGCAGAGCTGTGAAAGAAGCACGCAAAGGAAAAGTATTGCTACTATGCTACTACAAGAGTGCACTCATAATTTTAAAAAAAATTCTTGGGAGTACTGCTGCCATGAAATCTGCCTACATGTGCGTGCCCCCCAACTTTCTGTGCATACTTCCTACTATTTATCTATGAATTGCTAAAATGCATTTTAGAAACTATCTTGTAGATGACCTTATCAAATACTTTTTAACCAAACCTTTCAAAAATAAACAGTGTACAGTGGCTTTCAAACCCAGTTGATGATTTCAGTTTCATGTTTCTTTGTAGAAATTGCAAATAAGTTGAAAATTCACAATGAAGATACCCTAGACTTGTATGTATGTGGAAGAAAGGAGGAGACACCACTAATAACTGTTTCAAATCATAGCTCTTGCTTGGATGACCCAGTTCTGTGGGGTTTGTCTACATAAATTTTCTCTTCTTTATGTCCTTAATGATTCTGTCAATTTGAAATCAAATATTGTTAAAGCCTTTGGTACCACAAGATTTGAAGATTGCAGAAAAAGCAAGAACATAACATACCAAAGTATTTTTCATCTAGGTAAATCTTTAAAATAGATAATGGTGACCTAAGAAGTGAACAATTACTTAGATAATATTTATTATTATATTTAAGTATATACTTTAAAGTACTTAAGGAAGAAATACTTTAGGTAATTGCAGGTAAGTCTTTTCATTTGGTATTGGAAAATAGATAAGCATCATTAAAAATTACTTTGAAGGGATGGATTTGATATTTCAAGCTAAGTTAGAACATCTTTTTGGTGGTTTATATTGAAAAGGACAACAAATAGAATGATGCATTAGTCCTATTTGTTGAATGATATAAATTCTGCTCAATGAATATAGAACTTCTGCTCAATTGGAGTTTATCAATCTTTATTGTTTCTGTTACATTCCTATTTTGCTTGTTTTTTAGGTATGTTAAAATTAAAAACACTTAGAAATGAGAAATCTTTGAGGTGGTAAGGTTAATTCACAAACCTTGTTTTCACAGTATAAAAGGTTTTAAACTTATGAGAAATCTATATTTAAAAGATTTGAAAATAGTAAAAAATGCTGTTGGCATTGCTCTTTTTTAATTTTGACACTGAATAATTCATGGATATATTTATTCTAATTGTTGTTTTTGAAGAAACAGTCTCTTCTACATGCTGGAACTTCTAATGAACAATCTAATCTTTAGTCAAAAAGTAACAGCCACTGTGAAATTATAAATGAAGCCAAGCTTTTTCCCCAAAACAATTTCTTAGTTTTCTCTTAAGAAAAGCTGCTTTTGCTCCTTAAAGTTTTGGCTGCAACCTACTGCACACCACCAAATCATATTGCTAATCTGGTCTTTGCATTACTTTATGCCCTCTTGCACTTTATAGGTCACTTGGTGCCCAAGAACTTCTATACACAAATGCAATATACTCATGGATTTTTAGTCATGGAAAGGTATTTCTCATACTGTAATTATTGGATTGTTATAAAGCCTGATAAAAAAATCACAGTTCTGAATGGTCTAATAATCAAGGTTACAATAACTTGTAAATCAATGATAGCAAATAGTATTTGCCTTACTCTGATTTGCTATTTTTTACTCCATTTCTAAATGCAAGGTTCTTTACAGCCAAATTGCTGAAATGAAGTCAATTAAAATATTAACAGATAACTTTTTGGTGGATTTGTGATAAACATTGTTTGTTTTTGTTTCCAGGTCATTCCAGTTGTAAGAGGTAATTTTGTTTAATCATTTCTGCCGTGATTGTAGCATTCTGTATTTTTTATCCATGGAAGAGGAAGGCCTCTTCTTTATGCTGAGATGACCGATCCCTTTCTGTAATGTGTTTAGTCTCCACTGTAATATCATCTAGTACCCATTTGTTGATGGTAGTACTGCAGATAGGCATCAGTATCATGGGATAAGGCAGGAATAAGCTCTCGGCTTTCAAAAGTGAGGTAAACCATTTGTTCACTCTCCTTTCATAAAGCACCAAATGATTAATGACTTAATGAACAAGGTCCATCTTCCTAAGGCTTGAGGCTTGTAATCCATACTAGGTATTGTGGCTGAAATATTGATTTAACCAAGCCAAACATCATTGCTTTAGCTTTAGCAAATGAAGACTATATTTTTTTTAACAAATCTTGACCAACAGCATAATACATTGGCAGTCTACTGGTTGTCCATCATCACCACTGACATTGTATCCTTTTTTGTTTTCTTAACTGATGCTATGAAAGTTTTATCCCATTTGAGAATTTTTTTTAACTTTAAGTATAATGCATTGTAGGTGATGGTGTCTACCAAAGAGGCATGGATTTTGCTGTTGGAAAATTGAACAATGGTGATTGGGTCCATGTTTTTCCAGAAGGTAAGATTTTTCTGGTTTTGTAATTTGTTGGCATTTTTGAACACAATAAAGTAGGACAAGAGCTATTGTTTTGGATAGCAATAATGACTAAAAACCATAGCTGCTGGAAGAATTACAAAAGTTTTGGGTGCATGTAAGCACAAAGGGGTAGGTCTGGAGCTGCATATGAATGGTGAATTACCTCTGTTTCCTAAAAGTGGGACACATGCGTCTTTGTCCATGGCTCTTAGCTTTGCTGACCTACAACTAGCTTGGGTCAGCACTAGAGTGCTGGTGTTGTCACTTTCCAATTAAAGGGTTGTAAGTAGTTGCTTCTTTTTCTGTTTACAAAGAATGGTCAGGCATATGTATTTTACTTCCTTTGGCTCTTCTTCTTAATGAGAGCTACAGCACAGGTTTGCTAAGAGCAAGTGCTTTGCTCAGATATTTGATCAAATCTTTTTTCCAAACTGTACTTACATGAACTCAATATTCTTATAAGTAATAGCATTTAATCAATACCCTTAAAAACATTTAAATTGAGCAAATAAATCGATAATTATAAAAGAAATTAATCAATTCTATGGAATTGCTTTTACCACACTCGGTTTTAGCAGTATTGCATTTAGTTAGAAATTAAAAGCCATAAAAACTAATAACCAATAACTAATAATTTCTCTTTTTGGTGTGCCTTTTCAAGTCATATTGAAATATATTTTTTATTTTAGGCCAAGTAAACATGACCAACAGTCTCATTCGTCTGAAATGGGGTATGTTGATTTTAATAAAGACCTGCTTACCTTGTTAACTGAAAGTATCTTGTTTTGTTCTGGTATTATAAATGTGTCCTTTGCCATTATCTGTTTGTTTTGTTCATTAGTTCTTGTAACTTCAGACTTTTTGTTGCTCTCTTTCCCATAACAGCAGAAAGCCTGATATGACTTTTTTTGCAAACCAACAATACTTCTTCATATAGGAGGTTAAAAATAAGTTTATCTAAAGAAGCTCTTCAGTATACAAATATTTATCTTTCAAAGGTATTGGAAGACTCATTGCAGATTGTAAAGTCCCTCCTGTAGTCTTACCATTTTGGCACTTGGGTAAGTTGGCCTCTATTTTTCTTCTTATTTTGTTAAGCAGCTCTAATTATTACAAATTCTGCAGTATTTCTCTCCCAGTAAATATTTATACCTATTGTTTTGTATTGGCAAGATATCAATTAATTTTTAGTGAATGATTTATCAACTTTTTTCATTTTTACAGTTCTCTTGTGCAGGAGCAATGCAGTCCAATATAAAAAGAAATAATTTAGTAATCACAAGCTGAATTAACTATCATTTCTGCATATCATACTGGGTCTCATCAGAGTGATTATCATAAATGATCTTCCACATTCTTTCCTCAGAGTATATCATAGACTGAAGATATTTCTGCATAAGTGTTCTGATGAACTTCCTCTAATAGTCATTTTAATATTTGGAAATATGTTCAAGGAAGATGTGATTACCCATGTTAAAAAAGATTCAATTATTGTTATGCCTAATTGAAAAAATCTCCTTAAAGCAGGTGTAAAAATTAGTGATCTCTCCTAAAAAGCTGGTTATTTTAATTACACCTTACATTAAAAATCTATGGCGTAAACAGCAGATCCTCTTTTGAGTTTTCTATTCCTTTGCACACAGCAAATTAACAGAATTCTCTACATGTCTTTATATTGCTATTATATTATACGGGAACAGAACTTTTCATTGCTAGTTTATTCTTTATTCACTGCTGCACAGGAATGGATGACCTACTACCAAACAGAAGACCTTACATACCAAGAATATGTCAGGTATATTTATAGATTCAAAAAAGCAATAAACTTGCATATTTTCGTGTATCAAACCCAAATATTATTCTATGATTAAATAGCACATAATTATCATGATACACTCAATTTGTTGGGCTATAGCAGTGATATCGAATCATTGTTAATTTTGTGTTGATTTGCACATCCAGTATTTCTTTTGCCCTTGATGTGTGATGTTTTCCTTCTCTATTCAAGGTCGGCTGCCTTAATCCCCTTTCATTTTAATTCCATGCAGTCTCTCCAGTAAGGTTTTGCTATACATACATGTCTTGTAAGCAGGTTATCATGATGAACTAAACATTGCTAGTCTAACCCTTTGCTTTTATTCCAGAGAATCACTGTTTTAGTTGGAGAACCAATTGATTATTATTCAGTTCTCAATGAATGTCAAAGGTTCAAATATTCAGCTGTAAGTATATATATATGTTCACCTCTTTGTATCATAATTTGTTCCATGTTCGAATTCTAGCAATCTTCTCCTAATATTGGTGTTTTGCTGTCATACACAACCCTGATTTCACCAAACTTCTGCAAAATCCTTCCCTTTTGCATTGTATTAATGATCTTTTTACATTAATTAATGGCTTGATAGTCATTGATGTCATTTCATAATCTAATAACTCATTTCATAGTAATAAAGTTTATTACTTTTTAAAAATGATAGCTCTCAAAATACCTGTTTCTTATAGCCTTGCAAGTATTGTTTCTTTAGGGTTTGCAAGGATAGCCTCTCAAGGGAAAGGAACGACCAATCTTAGCCTTGCAATAATAGCAAATCTTCCTTAGATAAACATGTAGATTCTGAACTTAAAGCTGGCAAAATTTAATCAGTTATATCTCGTTTGATCCCGCATTGAATAATTTGATGAAACAGAAGTTATCTGGGCAGTGGCGGCGCCAAGGGGTGGTATGGGGGGGTAATTACCTCCCCATTTTTCTGAAAATGTGGTCTATATATTTCTTCTAAAAATGGATTGAAAAGCGCTGGGTAGGGGTAGATCAAATTTTCCAAGGAAAGGGAGGAATCACTGGAACGAGGCAAAAGGGGTCTGGTCACACTGACCACGCCCATTACCCTCCCACTCTGTAATAGCTAGCGCCACCACTGTATCTGGGTGTAATTTAGGTAATGAAATCTCACATTTCTCTGTTATTTTTTGCTAGGAAAAGACCAGAAAAATTTTAACAGATTTAATCCAAGCAAAGTTTGCTGAGCTGAAGACAAAAGCAGAACTATTGCATCGCGAGAATGCTTCGTAGCCAGTTTTCAAGTTTCTAGCATCTTGTTTTTATAAATGTGTTTTGAATTGAAGAAAGTTTCTCAAACATGTATATTTCATTATAATGTGTGGTTTATAATAGTTTGATATAATGAATATTTTAAGATAATATGTTTAATCTTTAATAACCAAGTCTTTTGTGTGTTAGTATTATCTCCTGGAATATATTTATGTCGATTGATCACGAGTAAGGTCCGTAAACAGGTCACAACTTATTGGTGTGGCAGTGGAATTAGGCCTGATATTTTCGGAAAGGCGAGAACAACCGATAAAGTGTGTTTTGAGAATAAAGACATCTTCATTATCAAGATTTACTGGCTATCTAGCTTAACATAATTATACAGGTGATGATAAAATTCTGCTATACTTGCTCTGTGAGAGGGAAATAAAATTGCCAGCAATTCAGTAGCAAGCAATTCGTTTTACGAACGCTGAAATAGTAATACGAAATAGGGATAACACCATTGGAGAAATGCTGAAGGGGCAAATACCATCAGAGCTTTGCGAGACAATTGTAACGGACCACGCCTTTCAGAACGGCTTAAAATGCGACCATATTCTCTAAAAACATGGACAGAAGGCGAATAACCAGGCTTGAAACTGACAGAAATTACATGGGTTAGTCAATTTTTCTACCTTTCCATTTTTAAAGGATAAATCATCTTCCAATTTCTACCTGTTACATGAGTAGAAAAATCTTAAAAATAAAGAATTTGAAGTAGTAAAATTTTGCCAGCATTTAATTGAGTTTTCAGTTATCAATAGGAATATTGAGGTCACACATGAATGCAATGTCAAAAAGTAATATCGGTTTAATCAAAGATTTGATCCTGGCAGAAATTAGCCATGATATTTTAGAATTACCCAGAGAGAAGATAAGAGGGCGGAGCCTCCCTTCGGAAAGTAGAAAGGGCTGAGAATCAAGATCCAAGGCACATATCTCAAGCCTCAGAAAGCTAATAAGTATCAACAGGTTATTTGTTACCAAAGATTCTAAAACTAGCTATATACAGACGGGGCAAGCTGTGGTCAAATTTTCGTTTGGGGGACACAGTCCCCCCCCCCCTGTGCCCCTTGCAGCTACGATGCTGCTCCTTTGTCATAAATTGTTTAAAATTGAAAACAGGCCTACACTGTTACTTCGTTAGTTTATTTTTTACTTAATGGCTTACTTTCATATTAGCGTAATAAAACAAGATTGTTTTCTATTTGTTTTCTTATACAGGTTTCTTCTTAAATCTTCCTGTATTTTTTATTCGTTTAATGCTTGAAGTTCTTCTGTCTTCTCGTTTTGTTAATCATGCATTGATGTGATTTATTGCTTTTCTATTGTTGGATATTGTTAGATTTTGGTATTGAAAGTGAGCTGGAGGCCCTCTTGGTCTACTTTTTAGACTGAAATAAACAGGGTGAATGAGACGATACACTTTCTTTTTTATAAAAACAAATTTGTAAGAACACGATCCTCAAAATTGATCAAAATTAAGAAAAAATAAAAAACAAGCCGAGGCTGGGCTATTGCAAAATGTTTCACCTCAAGAACGAGAATTTTGCCATCCAGTATGGGCTCCGATGCAGGCTGAAAAGTGGGGGCCAAAGGAAAATTTAGCAATCATAATAAAGGATTCTGAAAAAAGCTCTATTGTCTTCCAAAAAGTGGAGGCATCCCCCCCGTCGTGGCCCTTCTTTAGTGGAGCTTTTCGGTGAATTTTCTAACTTGTCGGCAAATAAAGGGTGTCTCATTTTGTTGTTTTTAGAAAAAATTTACGGGTGGAGAGGGGTATGTTTATTCGTGAGGGGGGGGGGTACGTTTATTCCGCACTGGAGAATAAACACCTGTGTACCTCTAGGAGGAGACAAAAGAGCACGCGGAGAATGGATGCGAGATCACTTTGAAACTAGACGATTGCGGAAGTAAGGAGACAGCATAACATAAGTGCAGATGGTCACAAAAATGTTAGGAAAATGCTTAACCAGAATCTTTCATTCACGCTGTTGATAGTCTTCTTTTATTGCTTAAATCCTTCTAGCAGTTATGGACTTTCAGGTTGCAGATCAGGCGTAGTATTTGTACAATGTGATTGGGAACCATGTAACCGTTCCTGGCCTACGAGCGATCAGCTTTCAAAACAACCCGTCTTGCAACTGTTCAGTAATGGACGCCTCCTTAATACGTCAAGGGTTTATAAATCAAAGCAATTTACCGTAGACTTGCAATACCTCCCAACAGTTAGACTGGTTCAATTCACCTGTGTTTGGAGGAACACAAGCACAGAACTATGTCATCGAAATGTCACTGTTGACCTGGCCACCATTAATGTCCCTCAGCCTCAGAATGTCTCCTTTGCATTTTATGGTAACAAGAGTTCCATATATAAACTCATCAGACTGCAATTCCAGACACCAACGTCTCCTGGCGACAAAACTAAATATACTGTATCAGTTTTTGCGATGCATGTCTATGCCAAATATTGCCCTGTTAAAACCAAGGATGCTGTAGTTTTTGACACCAGGCCATGCCAAACTAGGAAAGGAGAAGTTGTTTGTTTAAATCTCCTTAAATGGTTTCATCATTTCCCAAGGATTTACAGAGCAGATGTTTCAAGTGCAAATGCATTTGGGATCTGCACAAAGGAGCTGCTTTGCCAAAGGGAAAGTTTTTCTGATATTTATGGCAATTTGATGAATGTCAATGTCACCAATAAGGTCAGCAAGCAGTTTCCCTCAATTAATGTTTCTTGGGAGTATCCGCCAGGCCTTGATTATGCTGCAATCAATGTTATTATCTCTGTGAGATACTGTAAATTGGAAAGCAAGTGTTACTTCTTAAATGAATCAAGAAGTTTCCCCCGCGAGAAAATGAAAGCATTTGCAATTATCACCAGAGATCTCGAATTTGACACAGTTTATGAAGTGCAACTCTGCTATATCATAAAGTCTCTTTTTGTAAATATTTCTCCTTGGACTAAGACAGTGAAAATTCGCACACTAGATAGGCTCCCAGGCAAACCAAAAATAACACAATGCTTAAAGACAAAAAGGAATTTCTTAATTGAATGGAAAGATTATTCTAATCACAGCATTCCATTAACTTATCATATAAAAATTGAAGCTTCAGATCAAAGTTATAGAGTTGTGAATTTTCCTGCATCAACATGTCATTATGGGCTTTGTAAATTTTCATTGAAAAGAAGCTCAGACAGTCATACAAGGAGCCTCAGATTCAGCGTGTCTGGTTGCTCAAATAGTGGCTGCAACTTTGTAGATGTTTCACACTGCACCTTCAAGAGTTCAGCTGCAAACAGTCCATTATATGTGGAAGAAAGTGTTCAAACAAAGTCAGTAAAAATTGTTGTCAGTTCTTTCGGAGGACTAATGCTTTTTGCTTTGTTTGCCATTGCTGCTCATAAGTGGAGGAGGCAAAGGCAACAGGATTACAGGGTGCCAGTCATCTTTCCAAGAAGTTATAGTGATTGCAGCAACTCAGATGACTGTCCTGTCAGTCATGAGCCTTATATTGTTTTACAGTAATGTAAAAAGATTTTGTAAAGATCTAATAGATTCCAACAAACTGAAGGTTGGGAGCCAAAAGAATATTCAGACTCTATTGAAGTTGGTCTGCACACAACAAAGTTAATTACTTGGCAATATTAAGGCTGGCCCATGTACCAGGTGGTAATACCCAATATTTACTACCATGTAAACTAGGTATAACCAAAATTCCATTTTACATTATTATAATAATGGATGTCATGCCAATTTTTTCTGTCAAAATTTGGTACTACCAAAGAGGTACTACCAAATTTTGGTAGTACCAAATACTAGACCGAATGTTCACTCTCTGTGCTTTGACCATGATTGTTAATAGCCCCAAAAGTGTTTGCAAATTAGTGAGACAAATTTAATCCAAGAGTAAAGAAACTATTGACCTTCAGAAAACTCTGTTATCCACTTATTTGTCCACTCATATTTATTGTAAGGAATAAGTGACTGTTTCAGATTTCAATAAAATAATATTTTAGTTCTATTATTTTATCCTCCTGATTTCAAAGACATTATTTGGCAGATGCTGAACTCAACGTGTCAAGATAACAATCTTAAGGATGCATTTTAGGTACAATCAGTAAATAGTTGCTTTCACAAGCATCAACTATGCAGTTGTAGATTCTTGAGTGAATTTTTGTACAGTGAATTTTAAAAGATCCTTGCAGCTTTTCTTTTTTCCCTTGTCAAAATACTAATTATTTAAATCTTTGCAGCAGATCGGGTTTGAATAAAATGCAAAAGTTTGCTCTTAGCATGGACTATGGAAGTGGGGACCAAGGGGCTTTGCATTGCCCCTATATAATTCATAAAATGTACTTGAAAACATTTACTGAATCATTAATTCGATTTTTGTATTGCTGTATGTTCATACTTATGGCATCCATTCACAATTTGCTCCATGGTCCCTGCTCTTAAACATTATACTGTAAAGTCAAAGAAAACAATAATTGATATAAGCCATTTCAGTCAGTTTGATAGTATTTCCAATCATCTCTCTTTTTACATGTTGTTCTCCTTTTAATGAAAATATTCTATGTACACACTAATAATATAAAAAACATCATATTATAAATTACAACGCTTGGCAATTGACAAGCCAACTCATAAACGCCTTGATATAAAAGCAGCATGATAAATACAAACAAAAATTAGTACAATTATAAACAAAAAGTCCTTAACCTAAATGGATTTTGCGCTATTGTCTTGCTTGCTATTGATTCTGAGTTTACAGAGGCTCGTAATTTTAAATAGCATCTTATCCTGATATAAATGACGTCAGGAAATGCGGAAATGATTCTGAGCCATTTCACTATTAGTAAATCAAATGATTTTACAATGCAATGCAAGTTCTGCTAAAATTGTAAACCTCAAGCAAGCAAAAAGTCTGGTTCTTGTTGTCCTCCCTGTTCCTCCAAGCATTTCACGCTGACGTATCTTTTTCTAAAATACCATAGTTTACTTCTAAAAATCACATGTAAAACTGAATCTTTTCAATTAATACAATCAAAAAAGGAAAAGCTATTGTAGCAATGTATTAACTATGGCCACGCTATTTCAAGTGTTGCAAAAACTAAATATGATTGCATTTCTCAGATCAGATTCCTAACAAAACGCAGAAGCAAGTCCATATGGAAAATATCATGTGCTTTAGCCTTAATCAATTTAACATTATCCTTCGTTTACATCAGATCAACTTTGTTATTTTACCTTCTCGTAAAAATCTACAATGATTTACAAACAACAATATGATATAGATGGTAAAGGGAACTTCCTGAAACGTCATCAGGAACAAGAAGAAGCGATATTTTTAACGTGAAAAATAAATATTTTCTTCAAAATTATACGCCCCCCCCGCCCCCCTTCTTTACCATCTTTTATGATACAACATAAAACATCGATGTGCATCACAATCTTATTTGGCGTTCTTGTACAAAACTATCAAGGTCAAAGATTTAAGTGTTATTAAGTGATAACTTCACAAAACTAAATTTTAGAATTTTTGAATTTAGATCCAATAACAGGAAAGAGCACCATGAAATACCTTCAAATGTTTACAATCAGTTAAATGTGCGACGAATTGGCTGAGATTTGGCCACATGTGCACTGGCCCTTTCCCCATCAAACCTCTGTAATTTCGTCCCTGTTCATAACTTTAAGAACAAAGCCAAAATAGCAGTGACCAGAGTTTTGACATATTCAACATATTAAGAAGAATTTCATGATGTTTTTGTGAATCGTGTGGTCGTATTCAAATATTCTACAAATGTATTTTTAATCACGTCGAAAAATCAACTGCGAGTTTATACAACTAAGGTGTCAAGAGATATCACCTGTCTTATAATCAAACTTGAGGGATATGAACTTTGTGGCGTGTATTGTATCTGTTCGCCCAAAAGTACTGACTACTGTCAAGCCTTGGAGTTCGTTTTCTAGCAACCTGCAGATAAACGTAACGATGTTTTCAACGCCAGGCTTTCACAAGTTGGTTAAACTCTAAATAAGGTTTCTAATTTATTCCAAACAGTCAAAAAAGATTCCTTGGAAAGGCTCAGGTCATCCTCTTTTCAGGACTTGATGATATTCTCTTTTCAAGACAACAAACGAGCTGCTCATCCACTAGGCGGGTCACTTCATTTTACCAGATTCTTCAGAAACTTGGTTGTCGTCGTGAACAGCCTTCCTGACGATAAGTTACATAAAAGCTACAGGATCACACAAACACTTGACTTCTTTTGAAGCTGCCTAGACTCTGCAATAGTTCCATTTGAAGTTGCTGTGGTGGCTGTATTTGCATTTTGGTCCAGCATTTCTGTGAGTGAGTTCATTTTATCGGTGAGATCTCGAAGTTCTTTTTCCATACTTAATATCCTCTCGTCTTTCGCTTTATCATCTTTGGCGAATCTTTTCATTCGAAGTTGAAGGTCTTTGATCTTTCTTTCTGCAGTCTCTAGTTCGTGATCTTTTTGTTCTAGCTTCTGACTTAAATAAAGTTCTGACTCTTTCCCCTCTTTCACTTGCCTCGTCAAATAGTCTGAAAAGCGAAACCATTAGATATTACGATCAGCCCTTTTCTGTCATATGCAAAAGATTTAAATTACTCTCCATATACTCTTCAAGCATTCTCATGAACCTTTTCAATAACATAACAATCACGACAAGCCAAATACAGTTGAACATCCACTACCAGACATCTTTATACAACGGATGTCTCTTAACAACAATTAACAGGTATTTTTGCCCTAAATGATTAAAACAATCTTAAAGGGACCTCTTAATAACGGACAGTTACACTGGTCTAGACGGAGTTCATACATGGAGGCTCCACTGTTAATGCAAAAATAAACAATAGGTACCTGTTTCAACACAGATAACCAAATGGAAGATAAATTTTTCTTTAAACGGACATAAATCCGCAAAAATGTACGTCCCAACGGCGTGTTCTTATTCGACAGAACATTGCTTAAAGTTTTTATCCTACCTTGGAAGTGTGCATGACCATCCAAATTGTTCCTCTCTCTCATGTTCTCATCTCCCTCTTTGAATGGGGACCTCTTTTTCCCACCTACGGCCCTCATAGATCCCCTGCTCGAACTCGAAGATTTACTTCCACTTCTCGTCTTTCTACTCTTGTCTTCTCCTTCAGAAATGCTTTTGGTGCTGTTCCTCCTTCCTGTTTCCTTTACAAAACTGCCTTGTTCCTTGGGCTTTTCTTCATCTTGTGGCCTACTATCCTCGATAGACTGGGCTTCTGTATTTGCTGCATCTTTACTATCGTCTCTTTCATCGGTTCCCCTATCCACACTTTCATTCTGTGGTGGTATCTGCTCAGTTCCAGGTGCAACTGGCTCTGCATCATTTGGCACATCTTCTACTCCTTCTTTTCGTTCATCCCCCTCATTTTCTATTTCTTTCACCTCTGCGACCTCTGTTATATTCTTCTCTTGCTCGGTTTCTTGTCCTCCTCCTCCGGTTTCGATTTCGTCTTTCTTCTCTGTTTCCTTTTCTGTTCTGCTTTCTCCGACTGCTTCATGTTCCTTTGCCTCATCACCGTCCTCTGTATCATTTTCTTTATTATCTTTAGTTTCTACACCCTCCTGAGCACTGCTTTCTTCTCCCTTTTTCTCCTTTTCTCCATTTTCTTCTCCTTCTTTATCTCCCTTTTCTTCTCCCTCTCTTTCTCCCATTCCTTCAAACCCAGTTTCTTTCTTATTTTCTTCTTGATTATCCCCCTCTACTGTATCTTTGTCACCATCCTTTACCTGCCCCATCTCTGCCCCATCTTCACCCTCTTTTGCTGGACCAGATTCAGAAATGGCATTCTCGCTTTCTGGACTATTTTCTGGCACAATGCCACTATCAGTTTTGTCTCCATCGACTTTGACATGTTCTTCAGTTCCATCAACCTTTTCACCTGCTAAAGTCGGTGCTTCCTCACTGTTTAAATTTTCATTCGCATTCTGGCCTATTTCATTCTTAGCTCCTTCGGTCTCTTTATTCTCAGAGTTACTGGTGTCATTTACTTTCTTTCCTTCTGCAACTTCTTCAGTCTTTAATTCACTTTCTTCAGCAGCTTTGACCTCGTCGCTTTTTGGGGCGTCTTTTTCACCTTCTGTGTTTTGTTTATCGCTGGTATTTTCTTCTTCAGTTGCAACATCAGTTTCTGAAGTTTTCTTTTCAGTTTCGGTGTTTGCATTTTGTTCTTGATCCTGTTCCTTCTCACCTGTGTTATTTTCAACAGGTTGTTCCTTTTCGGCGTTGTCAACTTTGGGCTTTTCTCCGTCTGGCACTGGATTATTATCCTTAGCAGCTTCTTCTAAAAAAGGCAACGAGAAGTACATCAATTTGCTAGCAAGAATTTCTTCCAACTTTCTATGCTATCTTACTATAAGAAGTTTAAAAATAGTTCACCTGATCGTTTTCTGACAATAAGATTCACCAAGTTCTAGATTGTTGGTATATGGCACCAATAATAGGTACCTTCAGGGGCGTATACAGAGCAAATTTGAAGGAGGGGCAGTCGGTAGTGGGGGCGCTGAAAAAATATTCAAAAATTGGTGACGAGAGTACGCTGAATACAACGACTTAAGATCCATTTTCAGAATAAACAACATAACTTTGAGGTAATCTATGAAGCAAATTAACCTATCGGTCACAGAAACTTTTCACCTGATTCTCATTCTTCAAAAGGGGCAGAAATTTCCAAAAAAAGGGGCGGCAGACTTGCTTCAACTCGTCGAGGTAGGGGCAACTGCCCCTAGTTGCCCCCCCATAAATCCGCCACTGAACACCTTGTAAATGAATGGTAGCCCCTGAGCTTAATTACCTTACTTGCTGGCGCAAGAAAGATGGAAAAAAGTTTTCCTATGGAGAGCTAGAGTTTTTAGAAGGTCCACGTTCTACAGCTGAAAGGACACTTAATGATTGAAGAATGATTGAAAGAGTGGTTTTGGGGCAAAATTCACAAAGCCTTGTGGACATTCAATATTGTGCATCGTGCAGAAGAAAGTTTAATTCTTGTTGTTTTGCAAAAAAGTGAGGGGACATGTACCCCCTTGTCTCAGGCCCTGATTTTAGAAAACCGAACTGAGCAATTGTATGAGCATATCAGGGGGGTGGATCAAAGTTTTGATGGGACCTATCTAGTATTGGTGCACTTTAGATTTTCAACTCCTTCGAAAATTGGTTTTTAGTTTAGATCTCTGTTCTATATTTCAACTCCATCGAACTGACCTTCTGGTTTTGAGATGTTTCCTTCTCCATCATTACTTTTTTCTACCTCAGTAACCACATCTTTATAATTTCCTCCTTTTGAACCAGGTTCACTTTCTGTTACTTCTGTTGCACCTGCAGCTTGGTTGTCAACGTCTTCTTTATTTACGCCATCCATCCTGCTCCGGTTAGGCCTTTGGTAACTTGACTAGCAATTGTCTTCTCTATAAAGTAAAAAATAAAAAATTGAATCATGCGTGTACATTCTAATTAGGAAAATAAATTGTTTTATGAATATGAATAAAAATTATGAAAAATGAAAGCACATTGTAGCGATTGAATGCTAGGGGGGAGCCTAAAAATCTTTCTGATAAAATTCTTAGATTACATCTCAACAGAATTTTAGCTTGCCTGCAGATGCACCAAAACAGGAAAAGTTGCAACACTGATGCTAATTTTCTTGAATTCGCTATGTAAGAATTCTTATGCAAGACATTTTTCATATGCAATAGTATTTCTTTATAGCCAAATGTTTAGCTAAAAAAATTATATTTTAAACTCAGAATTGTAGCTTAAGGAAACCAATCAGTTTTAAAGAATGACTTGTTACAAGCTTTTCACATAGGTTGAAGCCTTCTTGAAAACAGGGCAGATCTAGAGGGCAAACAAGGGGTCCTTTAGATATCTAATTGCAGGTCTAGAAAAATATGCTTTTATGGCGGCACCCACCCTCGTCCTGGCTAGGTCTTTTATTCTTGCCTTATACCCTGTGGATGCTTACCCTTACTAATATAAAAACTTTCCTTTCTATATTCGTTTAATTTTTAATGTTTTGTTGCTGTTGCTAACTTGTTGTACAAAAATATACATATTTGTAAATATTTTATTGCTATTTCTTTAATAAGCATCCACTTTCGAATAAACCCCCCTTGAATATGCCCCAACCCTAAAGTAATTTTTGTGAAAGTTATGGTAGCCCTAATGCTTCCTAGTCTAGCAACATTCATTAAATTGACCCAGTTTCAGTTTCACATAATTTTGAAATTCCACTTCATACAATCCAAAAAGACAAAATTTAAATACAATGAAATATAACATGCTTAACTAATTAATACAAGATAAATACTACACAGGAAATCTAAAAAAACAATATATGTTATTGCATCAAGAAGGCAAAGGAATTGTATGTAGGGGAATTTCTTAAGGAGGGACTCTCGCAGTAGCTAGGCTAATCAAGGAGAGAGCACCTCCTATTTATAATTGACTAGCCAGGGCCTCCGACGAAGGGGGAGCCAGGGGGGCCTGGCCCCTCCACTTTTTTGCAAAACAACAGAGCTTTTTAAAAATTCTTACGTTTTGATTGTTAAAATCTCCCTTGTCCCCCCCACTTTCCAACTTGCATCGAAGCCCATGCTAGCAGATCTGACCGAAGTTAGATGCATTAAATTGTTCAAAGAAATTTTGAAAGCATCCACAGGTAGAACTTTGAAAATGAAGCTTTTGTATGAAACATTTTTCAGATGAACTGAGAAGTTGGCTGATGACAATCAACAATGATTTGATTGTTTTCCTCTTATCATTTGTTTTTGAATGGATTTATTTATGTTTACAATAATGTAGTGCGCAAATGTATAGAAGTCAAGTGTGAGCTATTGTGAACAGGTCAAATTTCTGGTCTATATGATCAATTATTGATAAAACAATCAAAGAAGAGAATCTGGAACGAAATTTGATTGATAATGATCTTACAATTTACTGAATTACAATGAATTGTGGCATAAATTGTTAATGAGCAATATGTAAACTAAATTGGTTTTAAGAACAGGTACTACTTAAAGTACCAATCCCTAATCAGATTATCCCTTACATTAAGGTCAAAATGTTAAGTTTGATGCTCATAATCTTGAGGTATTGCTCATTTTCAAAAAAAAATTGATATCAGGGACACTGGAAGGGGTGCAGTGGGACATCCACTTTTCTTGCCCTTTGATAGAGGGTCAAAGGGGCTAAAGTTGATTGAACAAGAATGAAAATTTCTTCTTACGTGAAATATTTGGGCTGTTTTAGCGCGTAATATTTTCGAGCGGTATATTAAAATTACCACCGACTGCAAAAAGGGCAAAGACATTTTTTAAATTTTAAGATGCCTTTAATGTTTTCTCGCGCATTCTCAAGCACTAGAAACTTTTTAAAGCTTCCAGACAGTTTTCTGTGAAAGGCTTAAGTAGCGGTCTGTGGGGCGCCACGTAGGGCCTACTTCCCCACTGAAAAGTCTAAAGTAAAATTTACATCGAAGTTTGTTGTATTTATGACCCATGCCATTCTCTTCATGCATCGATTGCTTGCTATTGGCAAAGAGAGAGAGAAAACGAAGAGAGCGATAAAATCTATCTATTCGTCAACATAAGAAATATTGCGGAATCTATCTATTCGTCAAGTTCTTGTACAAATTGAGAAAGTTCAAAGATTTTCACTTACCGTCTGTAGTGGCACCTTGATTGGGGTTCAAAACGGCGTTTTTGCTAGTATTTCTCGCCTTTTTAAAGTCTGGCATAAACAGTCTGCCAGTTCAACCTTACATCGAATCGCGTATTTGTGACCTACATCAATCGCTGAGATTTTGCTCAATTGTGAACTTTGCCTTTCGTTGACATAGCTTTCATGTGCAAATAATTTTTTGTTCAGTGGTCGTAAAGACAACTGAGTTGTCATGGTATTCTAGGAAAACAAACCACGTGACAATGGCTGCAGTGTGTCTCTTATAAACAAAAGTGCGAATCCCAAGCAACACAGTGTGATGACGATAGTATAAATATTGGTATATGAGGGCCTACGACGAAGGGGGGCCGGGGACAATGCCCCCACTTTCTTGCAAAACAATAGAGCCTTTTAAAAGTTCTTTTGTTATGATTATTAGAATCTCCCTTGGCCCCCCCGCTTTCCGACCTGCGTCGGAGCCAATGCATAGGATGAATTCCATATCTTAAGCCCCGGTCGAGCGCATCCAACATTTCATCCAACATTTACTCCCAAAAAATTAGAAAGTCAAACGCATCCAACATTTCACCCAACATTTCATCCAACATTTCATCCAACATCACCGTGCATCGTCTGCGCGGCGACAAGTTTGCAGCCTCAAATTCTTAAGTTTTTAATTTTGAGCCTAAGATTATTCTTAGATTTTCTTTAGTGTCACAATGAGTAAATTGGTTGCGTTATGGTATTTATAATAAACTCGCTTGGGGGGTTACCTTGGCATGTTTGAAGGTACGGGGACGTGTCATTATTCAGGGGTACCCTTTTTCTGAAAAGTGCGGAATTATCTGCACCATTTGAAGAAGCATACAGAATTATGGGTTCAATTTTGGGAAAATATTGCAAAATTATTAGGAGGGAGATTTAGCATTAACAAAATGAATGTCCAGTTAGAAGTACAAGTATGAAATATGTGTAATATTGAGAGTTTGGGGCAAAGGACATGCAAAATTTGTTTGATGATTTTTTTTGTGCTTTGAAAATTTTTATTTGCTCTGCAGAATTATAGGTATAGTTTTCATCATGTTTGCGGAATCATGGGTCACATTTTTCAGACATTTGCGGAATTATGGGTCAAAAATTTTAACCAAAATGGCACGTCCCCGTCCAAAATTAGGCTTAGTTTCCCCCCCCCCCTAGCTCCAGGGCTAGATGCGTCTATTTAAAACCATATAGCATGAAACACGCGTTTGTTTTGCTTTCCAAAAGTATCAAATAAGCAAAAAAATTAATTCCTGGTTAAGCTTGAGCCTTACATTATTCTTAAACTTCAGCAATTTTGAGCCTTAGTTTTCTTTAAGACTATATTCTTATAAGGTTTAGGCAGAACTATGAGGGTTACCCGTACAGCAGGGCGCGGCTTCTCTTTCCGACAACCTTTGCATAGATCAGAATTCAGGTTGGATCAGAACCTAAAGCGTTATCTCAATCATATTCTTGGTATAATTATGGCTAAGAATTTTCCGTGTGATTCGCTACTTTTGGGAAGCTGATTTGACAATACACCTTTTAGATATTTATGGTTTCAACCAACACATAACGAAAGCAAACACGAATAAAAGGGTAAACATTTTCCATCAGGTTCTAAACGAAATGCATCAGCTAGATCTGCATACTGTTGTGATTCTCTCATCCAATGTATCCAAGGTCCAGTGGCGTAATTTATGGGGGGCATCTAGGAGCAGTTGCCCCTCCCTCAACGAATTGAAACAAGTCTGATGCCCCTTCTTTGGAAATTGTGCGCCCCTTTTGAAGAATGGGAATCAGGTGAAAATATTTTTGAGACCGATAGGTTAATTTGCTTGAAGTATTATCTCAAAGTTATGTTTTTTATTCCGACAATGGATCTGAAATTTTTTTATTCAGCTTACTTTCGTAATCAATTCTTGAAAATTTTTCAGCGCCCCCACTACCAACTGCCCCTCCTTCAAATTTGATCTGGATCCGCCTTTGCCAAAGTCCGTTTGTGGTGTTAAGGCCTCGCTTGAAATTTTTTACTGCCAAGCTTGAAATTCATTGAAAAAGCACACCTGAACAGGACCGGCGAAACTTGTTTGAAAGTGGAAGAGCCAAAATATGAAAGTCTTGAGAAGGAAGGGCACCACCATGATTGGCTGCAAGAAAAATGGTGTCTTAGGGATAGCCAGAGACAGTATCTAAAATGAATTTTAACTGAAGGAAAAACCTAGGCAATATATTCAAGCTTTGTTTTATCAACATTTGTCATAGTTTTGTCTATTGTAATGTTGACTTGAAATAGGAAAGATCTTGCAAAGTTTTAGAATAACTTTTATAGTGTAGCTCGTAATGAAATTTCCTTTTAGATTTTAAAAGCAGCCAAAATTGGTTGAGGAAGGAAAATGAATGAAACACGGTTTATTAAAAAAACATTATCATTGGTATATCAACAGAAGAACTATCAACTAAAAATAGAATATTAAGCAATTTTGCACAGTTGAGATATTATTTTGAACATCTGATCTTCAACTTTTCAGAAAGAAAGTGCTTTTAACAAAAAAGGCTCTAGATTTTGAAAACTCTCACACTGTGCTGGTTAAACGAGTTTTAAAAAATTTATAATTGCGTCTATTTTCTCTTTCTTAGTAGGAATGGATTATCGACACGATGAAACTTTGAATTTTGTTGATAATGCTTTTAAAGAACAAATCTGCCATTTCTTTATTTCTCATCCTCAAAAATGTTTATTCCAGCTGTTTTCTCCGTCGACGGCTAGTTTCTCTCTTTTGTAATGTTACTTTCTGAGAAGGTTTTCGTTAACAATTAGACTTTTTGGTAGTTTAGGCCATAGAGAAAACGAAACTCCATCAATTTGTGCTGGCACCAAGTTATTCTGGTTCAGGTTTCTTGATCTATTTCCTAAGCCAAGCTGTTTATCGTTGTAAAACAATGACCGATTTCTTTGATCAAATTCCAATATTCAATTTTTTATGTCTTCTATGGTAAAGAAGAAGCAACGAAGCTAAAGCTAGGGGGATATTTAAGGGATTACTAAGCTCAGTTACTCAGAGAATGATATAGTACCTTTCTTTCCACTTTTGCTTCAAAACATTTATTTTGCTCTGCAGAAAAGTGGGGGACCATGGCCCCCTTGGCCCCCCTCGCCGGTCTTCACAACATTGTTCAAAATCACAGTTTTTACCATCTCAGCCTCAGTTTGTTCATGGTTTTTTTCTCAACTTTTGACCAATTCTGAGACTCGTGTTCTTACAAAACTGCTTTTATAAAAGAGAATTTAGTTTTTATAAAAAGAGGAACGTCACATTTTTTCAGGAAGGTAAATTAATGGCTATTTTTGGGAGAATGAAGATTACAAAATTTCCAACTCAGGGCCGTAAATCTGTCATGTAAATTGGGGGGGGGGGGTCAGCAGAGCGAATGAATATAAAGTATGCAGTGGGTCATGGCACCACAAGGGTATGTGTTATGTTTTATGGAAACAGTTGAGGGGCAAATTACTTTAAAAACAAAAGTCAATATTTTTGGATTTCTCAAGACTTTCTGCTCTATAGAAGGTATTTACAGATATTCCTTAGTACATTGACTTGTGTTGATAATTGGATGGATAACATTTTTCAGAGATGGCCCCAAGAAATTGAACCTTGGGAGCTAAGAATCAAGTTAACTGTCGTAGGAGGACCCACCATGGTTGCAGTGGCGTAGCGTGAGCGCAGAACTTAGGCATGCGGTAACATAAACTATACGGCTATGTTGAATAAATGTAATGGTAATTTCAGTTTCTAAAAAATACAAGCGGTAATTAATGATAATCGTGATAATAAATTTTGATTTTGAAAGTCACAAATCATTTGTACTCTAATTCTAATCAATCAAGGTGTCTATTCTTTGCACCAGAGGCTCCGACAGAGGTTGGAAAGTGAAGGGGGGCCAAGGGAAAAATTATCACCCATGCGAGAGTTTTTGAAAAAAGCTCAATTGTTTAGCAAGAATTTTCAGAATAACTCCTAGTGCTAAAACTGCTTCGCAAAAGATTTTATTCTTATTCATATTCCTCAAGAAAAGGCATCACCTAATGCCCACCTAATGTAAGAATTTTTTATGCTATAATGAAGCTGGGGATTCCCGCAAGAAGGAGCTCTCCACATTGCGAAATTGTTAACACACTGCAGAGCCTAAGCGAACATGAGCAACAGTTTCTGCTCATTTTTTACTCTCATAGTTAACGAAGATGAAAATAGTGAGCTGTGAGAGTTGTTAGAATTGAAGATGCTTCCATGTGTAAAGTTTCAGAAAGTTAGTCCCGGCAAATCATCATGTATTTGGCAAGGCTTGCGCTCAGGTCTACCGCATGCCCTGGTCCGTAAATTCTGACTATACTGGCATGCCTTTTGACTTGAATTACGGAATGCGGATCATGACAAATAGACTCTGACCCCACTTTGACGAAACTTTTTCTCTTTTCTACAGTCACAAAGTAAAGAAAGGGAGATAATTGGATTTGAAATGATGTATCACGCAAAGAATATTCGCAAAAAGCAGCTTATAGGTAGAAAAATGTTGTGGATTATCAAATATTTGGGAAGGCTTGCGCTCAGGCAGACCGCAAGCTCCAGTCCGGAAAATTCTCACTTCTCTCAGAAGCTTCTCTCGAGTTGCACTGAAGCTGCACTGGAGCATCACATGTTTCTCTTATTTTGGACAGGCAAAAAGAGTGATGTGGAGGGGCTTCAGTTTTTCAGATTTTTCGAATTTCATAATTTTTAGCGATCTGTTTACTTGGAAAAATAGCCAATTGGGGCCAATTGGCCTGTTGGCGCTAGAGTTCACCGCATGCTGCTCATGACAAGAAAGAGAAGCAGTTTATTGCAGAAATTGGTATGCATTGAAAGTGTTGCAAGAATTTTAGAATTTGTCTATAAATTTTTACGCTTGCGCCGCAAGCGTAGCATACATAGACGCTACGCCACTGCATGGTTGGGTCCGACGCGGAAGAAAATTTTTGAAATTTTATCTTCTAGAAAGGCTAAAAAAGCATCCGCCAGACTAAATTTAATAAAATAATAGAATCGCTCAGGATAGAAAGTTCGGCGTTTTTCAGAAGAACGCAGGTTATTGTTTATTGGGTAAAATTTTGGAGGGGAAGAATCATGCTTAAACCTTAGTGACAGACTTTGGGGAAATATGGAACGCTGTTGTATTTATTGGTAAAAATTTACTTTCTGAACAGAAATGTGCGTCTTCCTTATTTTGAGTGCTTTCAGTAGGCCATGTTTACACATCAAAAATGAATACATTTTAATGATACAAAAAGTGATTTACTGAATAAAAGCAAATAATAGACAAATAATAGAAATGTACGTAAATAAGTTAGTAAATAGGTAAAATAAAATGACAGACTGCTCTCTTTTTATTTTGTACTTTGTTTTCAAAAATAAAACGGTAAAAAACGGTAGAAAACGGTAAGTTTTTATCTTGTAAAAATTATATAAAACCACTCTGCTTACAAAAATAACCTTATTGGCTGAGGTTTGTTGCAATAACACAGAAAAACGTAGTTTGGTTCTAACCCGGCTACCAGGGATTTCTTTCTTTCAAGGAAAATGATGGTAATTTCTCCAAAAAAATCGTTTTGCTCCAGATTTTTGGGGGGGTCCAGTCCCCCCCGTCCCCCCCCCGGGATTTACGGCCCTGTTCCAACTGACAATAAGTCTATTGTATTTTAGTAGTAAATATGTTACACTGCAACGTGACGAGAACGAACAGCAACAAACACACATAAATTAGTGATGGCTATTGCATTTTGTTTATTAAAATTGTACTAGACTTTAATTTTTTTTTTAAATAAGATAATTCGCGACATTGCCGCTCTAACGTAAACAGGCATTATAGGAGCAGAAGATTACTACGTATGTTATTTAGGTATATTCATATGAATTTATTAGTACAGTCGTATGTTGTCTAGGGCACTGAGAAAAAAAGGAGATGACACGAGATTTCGGATTTCGGAAGGAATTTCGTCATCGCCCACCTTGCCTCGATTTGGAAAGACGCTTTAATCCTTTCCTTTGTGTTGTTGTTGCTGTCTGATTTGACTAATGGCCGGTTTGCGCGGAGGGTTCTCGTCAACATCAACATCAGGTTTCAAGTTCCCACTGATTCACCATGGAAGATGAAAATAGAAATCCATCTACTTCATACAGTAATCTTAGGTATGACCAGTTATTTAGTTTTCCAAATTGGTTGCCTCAAAATCTTGTTTAATCAGAATCACCGCCGTCGTAACATGCTCATGGCACGGCCTTTGCCAGTCACGAATGCCAGTTATCAATACAGGCAGTCACGAATCCCTCGATGTTCATTCCAGTCACTAATGCCAGTTTTCAATACAGGCAGAACCGTGAACCTATCGAGAACCATGTCGATCTCAGGGCCTCCATAAATGCCTTGTATTCAACCTCATTTTAACTTCTAGCCCTAAAAATTAATTTACCAGACTAGAAAGTTTATTGGACGGAAGATCTTCCAAATGAATATATTTTATCCATAGTATGAAGAGTCTTTAATGTTTTCCTGTTGTAAAGATTAGCTTAAATGTATTTTGTATAGATTTTCCTTCTGTTGGTATCGATGGGGGCAGATTTTTGGACGGAAGTTGCTAAAGAATTCGACCAAAAAGATATTGATCAAAGATTTTTCATAGTTTTCTTTTTTGTTCTATTTTCTTTAAAAGTCTGACATGTGTTTATGCATAGGTTGCTAAAGTCTGAATCCACCTCTGTTTATCAATTCCCCAGGGCCATTCCATGTACTTAGGCCCGAAGATCTTCGACATACACCCAGGTTTTTTTGGCCTTTGGCGTGCAAACCAATAAAAGATTTTTTGGAGTACTTAAAATTTTAGTTAATTGACATGCTACACTTGAAGCCATGTACATAGTTAACGTAAAATAAAGACTGAAACACCTCATTTTTCTCTAATAATCAGTTTTCTTTGTCTGGCGCAACAATGTTTACAGTTTTACTAACTGCTTTTATATTTTTGGCGTACCTAAAAAAATGCCCTGGTGGACCTTCGGTGTACAGTTGACATGGAATGCACCCTGGTAAATTCCATAACAACACCTGATCATCTCTGTTTCAAATTCTCAAGGATTTGAATATCATTAGGATAACATTTTGAGTTTTGCTAAAATAGTTAGTTTCCTTTTTCAAAGGCCAAAGAAACCCAGATCATTTGACGAGGTTGATAGTCTCTCTTGGGATTGTTCTGTTTGTACCTATAAGAATAATGCAGAGGCATTCAAATGTGCAATTTGTGATACAAGGAAGGGAACTTCAACCAGGTAAGAATCCATTTATTCACCTATAGAAACCTATGGCCATGTTTTTTCTTAGCAACTTTGTTTTTTAAATTTTTGCAATCAATGAATCTTTAGCTATGTAATTCAGCATTTAACCTGTCAAGATCTTCAAACACTGATTCTCACTAAAAGTAGTGTGCTTGACTTCCTCAAGTATTTTGAGTGATGTAATACATCTAAACGCAACAGCAACAAGCGAGAGATTTGCAGGAAAACACATCTGTAGTAAAACTATTGACAATTGCTGAAATATCATGAAATATTTATGTCTCTCTTTCTGCAGAAAACCAAAAGTAAATTCCCAATTAGTAGCACAACAAACAGCACAACAGCTCCTTCCAACTCCTGCAAAAATCCAAAAAACTGCAAACCCAAGAAGAAACCCTTCTTCTCATAAACGAAGGTAACAATATCAGTTATTTATGCTTAAAATTTTCCATAATCAGTTAGATAATGCAACTTTTATTAACATGAAATTATGAAATAAGTGTTCTTAGAACCAAAAAGTGTCAATTTTCTTTTATGAAAATAGTGCATTTGGAAACATGTCATACTAAAGTACTTGTTGTCCGACACTTATCAGAGTATAAATGTCTGATGTCTTATCAGAGTATAAATTTATATCCATTGTGGATTAAAATAAATGTGAGAAAAATGCACATTTTTGGTTCTTTGCTGTGATTAATCACAGCCGCTAATCACAGATCTCAGTAACTTTAATAACTAAACAAGGATTTAAGGGTAGGCCCCCAAGTCAGTGATTTGCTGACTGGACAGTGATCAGGAGTGGATCAGATCCAAACCTAAGGCTACTGTCATCATTTCATTTCATAAGGATGCCATTTGTCTATAATTTATATTTTATTTTTCCTAGATTATGTTTTTCTCGTGTTAAAAAAAGATGTTGATTCTAAAGATGGTTTTAATAAAAGCAAACCCCCCTTTTTAACACTTTTCTTCAATTTTTCAGTAGTTTTAGCCATTCACGGATTAAAAATGTGGATCAAAATAGCGAGCAACAATTAGAGGTTACAGTCGGTGACGTCACTGTTATAATTACGGATTACAAGCTTCTTCCAGTCAAAGATGAAAAATCTCCACCGGCATCTCCAAGCCAACAAGAAACTACCGTAAAAGATGAAAACGAACAAATTATTCCACCTGTTTTTGAGGAAAAGGTGGAAAACGGCGAAAAAGAGGAAAAAGCTGTTGAAATAAATACTTGAAAGTTGGTATTATCAATTTCGCCATGATTAGCCCCTACACAAATTGTGCATATTGTCTTATAGTGTATTTAGTCAAAAGACTTTCCCTACAGAACTTGTTCGATCGATTATTTGGGTCATGCGGTTTTTGTGTCTCAGGTGGTCAAATTGACGCCTTGAAATTTGTAATCATATAATCAACACCTGAGGACTGATTCAGAATTGTAAAATTAGTAAACAAAGATTGACTGGCAGAATTTTATGTCCTTCATTAGATACACTTGTGAAAGTTTTTGTACGTTTCTCGCCGATAACGACAAGCGAGAAGAACGATTATTTCCCAGTATACATGCTAATGCATTCGACGATTGACTAGCAGATCAAAACTGACTTGATGCTACCTGCCTCTACGGTGACATTTTTATCAGAAGCACAAACTTGGAGCGATAACCCTATGACCGTTGCAGACTCTTTAACGACATTTTTAGTACTGAAGAATTTCGGTGGATTTGTTATTATTAAAGTTTATGACAAATCCTTTAAAACAAAGCTGCATTTTGAATAACATGTCTAGAGCAGCTGAAATTGGTCAACACGGAGCTCGAATCCAGAGCGGAGTTCTAACTACTTCTTTTTCAAAGCCAAGAAGAGCTGGCTTCAATATACTGAAGGCTACGATTTCCTTTATCCAAGAAAGTTGCTCATTCAGAGGTCTTAATAATCCACGTCGCGTTTATGCAATTCTTCGTCAACTTTGCTTTGTGCAACAATGATGTACCGACGTGATCCATCAGTAAACATCGGAAGGGTTATATTGTTTTACCGTTAAATTATTGTCGAAATAACTTTATTATCATTAGCTGTGTTTGTAATAATTTCATGTAGAGAGTTGAGGACACCTTTTTTAATCTGACTTGTTTAGTGTTTTAGTCATTAATGTAGGTCGTTTTATTATTAGCTGTGTTGAATATATAACTTTGTTTGTAAAGCAAGAATCGTTCAGCAACAAAACATTTCGTCTGCCTATGAACGTGTTGTAACGGTGAGCCAAGCCTCTGTTGACACGTGGGTATAGATTCACGATTATCCTATATACTTGCACTGACTGTGCCAAGCCCAGGGTGTGTAGTCATATATTTTTAGGATAGGGGTACTCAGGTTTCTTTTTCAAGTCTATAAATTGACCAAGTTATTTCTTGGCTCAATTACTTTTTGGGTCCGTGAAATTCTAACTTATTTTTTCGGTCTTGAATATGGGAAAAGTTTCAAACAATAGATCACAACTTTTATGCTAGAAATAATTTTTTTGGGTTGATGGTTTGAGTACCCTCATTTGGGTACCAAAAAAGGGGAAATGGGTCTTGTAAAATCCACCCCCCCCCCCTGTTCAATTGGCATCAAATCCTTCGATTCCTGAAACAGAATGTTTTCTTGTCTCCCTTTTTTTGGTTTACATCTAGAAACTCCTTGCTCTCGCAAGACGATTTATCATAAGACGCCATCATCACGAGTGTGCGAGAAAAAATTTATAAATCATGTGAAAATCACGAATCGAATGTAAATCTCTCATCGTTAATGGAATTCAGTTTGTTTTCCTGAGAAATGCAGCTGCTTAATCTTCGTCCAATGAAAATTATGTATGCAAACTTTGATTTAACAGAAACATTTCTGGCCAGAGTTGCTATCTGTCCGATGTGCAGAGCTGTCCCCTGTCAAGAAGTCATTTGTTTGGAGGCGACCATTGTTTAATGGTTTCCAGTATTGAAAAGTGTTCGTTATTGGAAGATGTTTCTCATTTGAGGCTTAATGGGGGCTTATTGTGTCTGTTATAAATGACCGTCCAAAAAGTGATGAACTCGTTCCTTTTGTTCCATGCACGTTCCTCTGATGTAAAGCACAGCTTTTCCTTTTCTCTCAATATTGAACAGGCAGATTACTCAGAAGGAGTTCTCTCTCATTCAAATTCGTCATATGAAAATGCAGAAAGCTTTTTTCCTTTCAGTGTTAACATTCCTTGATATATTTGAAATTTAGGGATTGATTATCAAAGAATGTGAGAAAAGCTCGAACCTCTTAAGATAAGTCCAACACTTCTCCAGCACAACCCTCTCCAGCACAACCCTTCTCCAGCGCAATGCTAAATTTTAAACCCGTTTTAGTAAATAAATAAACGAATAAACTTTTAGTGAACAAATAAGCATTGCTAGCAGTGGTTTCCAATAGAATGTGCCTTGGAGCCATATTTATTTGTGATATCCAGTTTTTCGTGGGTCGTTAATTCTTTCAGTTTCTTTTGATGGTCTTGTATTCTTTCAATTAATAGCTATCAGCCCTCGATGTAAACGTGATGTATAGAGTTTTTTTGTTGCCATAAACTCTCTTCTCAAACTGAAATTTCAAAATTTAAATGGTAGTTTAAGATTTGTCCATGAAATCAAACATCAAGTAGCTGTAACATTAATCGGTGGCTAGCAATCCTGAATTTATTGTAAAGATATGTGTCATATTAATAATGAAACTGCATGCATAAGAAAATGGCTCTAGGTTATAACAAATGAAGTGAATAAATGTACAAATGCAAGGTATTTTAGAAAGGGGCGGGGTATATTTCGGCCTCGTAGTCATTTTCCAAACCTAAGAAATGAGCCTTCTACTGCGGCCTTGGAATACATAGAAATTATAAGGCCTTGAAAAGTTGTTATAGCAGTATGGGTCTCATGAACTCTGTGAGTTTCAACACAACACATGCATAAGACCTCTTATCCAACAGTGTTTATAGACCAATTGGAGTTTCCCTGTTGGCTCTAAAAATCTTGTATAGTTTTCTGATATTTTAGTGTGAAAACTGTTCCCATATTCGCTAACTATAATCTTTGTAGTTAAATTCTAGACGCCCTCAAATGCATTGAATACTCAATCTGATATTCTGCACCTCTAGTCGATTCTGCTCTGTTTGTATGCTATTTCAAGGGTCATATGAAATGTCAAGACATATGAAATTTTTTAACTGAACCACAGAGACCAGAAAAGTTGTCAATATTCCTCCGGCCAAGCGTATCTTATTATAAAATCTTCCTCATTTAAAGCGTGTTATTGTAGAGCCTGTCATGGCGAAGACGAAATTATTACAAAAATTATCATTAATTCAAAAAGATGGTTATGATACTGTAGATGGCAACAAATTTCAATAGATCCATCAGTAACATTTCATCAATTTCATATATAAATGGTTCAATTGTTGAAAGATCGTAGAAAAGGGTTTTCAAGCAGGGCATATCGAAGTAGGGGCAATAGGGAGTGACACCCCCATTTTTTATAGAAACTGTTGGTAATTGTTTGTCTTATACGTAAGCGTTTAAATTAAGAGCTTCAATCGATGCTGGTTTGAACAATAATCGTCAAATATAGCTAAGCGATAAAAGTCTTTACAGTGATGTTCTATTGCAGAAATTTGTGACAATTGCCAAAAACATCGATCAAAACTTGTCAGCAAATCTACCTAGCCCCCTCCCCTATTTAAATGTTTCTTGGCACCCCTTTTGAAGTTCATGAAAGGGCGTTATGCACTGCACTGCCCACAAAGATTACGGAAACGTTTTTTTTTTTTAAGCAAGCTAATGCGGTGTCCATGTAAGAAACTCATAGTTGCTTATATTGAAATCTATACATGATAATCGACAATGCTATAAATAAATAATTGACAATGATGATGAATGATAATGATGACGTCACGGATTTATAAACCATGTTGTTGCGGTCAGCGGATTGCTTGTGAATGGATGCGCAATGCACACGTGTCTTGCGTTTGAGTCGAGGATCATTTTCTTTGTTCCTTCTCACAGCAACACATTTTAGAGTGGCCTAAGTTGACCGTGGGCAGTAAAAATCTACAGATATGTTTTTTAGGTTCCTTCTAGTTCTTTGCCTGGCGGGTAAGTTAATTATTTTAATGTATCTTTTGCAATTTTTGTCACTTGGTTGGCATATTTTTGAACAAGCCATCATTATCTCAAATACGAGTTCATGACACTAACTCGACCATATTTTTCCAGGCCATTTTTGTCCAACTTCCCATGAAAATGATATTTCACCGTATTTACATGTCTAGTATGATCAATTTTACTTGCAAACTCAATTTATCAAGCATCATCAATATATTATCTGATTGCAAAGGGTTGCAGTATTTGTAAACAAATTCGAAATTTGTCGTTTCCAGCTTCAATAAATGGACTTTGTCAAAAGGCCAAAATTTCTGCGGATACCTACTCAACGAAGAGTGCTACAATATCAAGCCAAACAGTTTATATTGCTGAATTAAGCATATCTTGTGATTCTGAATTCCAGGTAACTGTTTTTATATTTTAATGTACTTTTTTGCTTTTTAGTTTATATGAGACAAAATACAAACAGACTTTTTTTGCTAAAGGCTAATATGAGACAGACCACATACGTGAATTTTATGAGATATTTAAGATTGTTTTCGTGTCAGACACAGCTTTTGAAAAACGTGATACACAGTTCTAGAATCTCCTACATTGAACTGGATTTTCTAGCAATTTGGACTAGAGATCAGTAAATTGAGCAACAATAAAAAGGGAGAAGATAAAGCTTGTGATATATATTTTGTCAGTTGAGAGCACCATGCTTTGGCATTCTTGGAGAACCATAGCAAAAGATCTAAAGCAGACCAAAACAGGATTTTCATTGTATTCTTTATTAATTTACATAAATGAAACTACAAAACTATTTCATCTACAAAGGGGCTTTTCATCCTTTATCTCTTTGATAGAAAGAAATGATCAATCAAAGTGAATGATCAGTTGTAAAAGTCTTGGGTATATTTATAGGCATAAGATTTCGTAATGTAATAAAATTCAGCTTGATAATAGTGTAAGTGGATGAGTGAATCAAAAAGCTTTTAGTGTTTGTTATACAGGTTGCAATAAAGGTTTAAAGCCTATCTATGAAATTTTTGCAAACTGATAAGTCACTTTTTGTATTTTTCAGGAACAAAACTTCTTTGCAGAAGTGAATGGGCTGCTTGTGCCTGTTGCAAAATCTGAAGATAGTGGAAAATATCAGGTAATTTTTGTTGGAATACATGTTTTCTATACATTCATGATCAAAAATCGTCAGTCTCCATTTTTCTCAGCCATCTATTATCATTTCATCAACATAACCAAAACCTTATTGTTACTATGCCTGGCCTTTTTATGCAAGTCAAGAAGTTCAGTCTACTGCAACATGCAGACACATTTTATTTTGTCAAAAAGTAAAAAATTAGGCAAATATGAAGGGAATTTTAACAGACTTTTCTGGCAGTTTTTCTGGAAGCTTCCTAGACAAACAAGGGCCGTGGACCCTATGACTCAACTCCATAGTTACTTTCAATACAACTTACATAGCAAGTACAATTCATTAAAGCACAAAAACCTGTTGCAAACTTACAAATTGATTTTTCAAAATTTGTCAGAAATATGCGTTGGATGACAAAAATGTGTTTGAAGAAAATAAGGCCCAGGAAAAATTTTAATTGGCCAAAATTGTATGTGGAGGAAACATTTTGACCAAGCAAACTTTTTGTTAGGATCTTAACAAATGTATACTAGATTTTTCATTTAAAAAATTGGTTGTACACCAATAGCATAACAATAGCATTCGAAATATGTACTTAATCACAACAAGCTGTGATTATACTTAGTCATCTAATTTATTTATTTGTTTAAGAAATTTTCATTGATATATATGTAAATCTTTCCATCAGGTGAGCTGGTCAACTGAACATAAGGCTGCACAAAAGGGAGATATACCAATCAAAATTTATGATGAAGAAGGATATTCTGCTTATAGAAAGGTATATATATATATAAAATTAAATTTTAACAGTGGATCAAGTGACCACTTGTTGCAAGGATAATCAAAAGCAAACTCTTAGGGCCCAATGTATCAGTGGAAATGAAGGTTTGTTAATAATGCTACTCAAATATATGCCAGTTTACCAATTTAATTGCTGATTTAGCACAAAAGTGACAGGACTGATGAAAACTTGCTTTCAGAGCCTGATACGATTATTCTTATAAAGTTCATTTTTCCAACTGGCAATCTTCTTAGCCCATGCATTTCCACTGACAACATTGTTTGAAAGACCGTCCGCGACTTTTGATCCTTAAGCCCGAAGGCTAAAAACTAACTAACTAACTACGAATACGAACCTAATTTATACTATTAACGACGTAAACAACTTTAAAATATTGTCACTAGTTTGATTGTCCATTACGCAAGGGATTAACAAATACTGTCCTCTAAAAACACATTAACACTCTCTACTAACCAACCATTGTCCAATTTAACGCAAAACAACTTGCTCAAACAACTATTGTGTCCAGACGCGTAAAAGTTATTGTTCCAATCAACAATTACAAGAATGAAAGTATCACATGTCTGTCTTCTGAACATTCTCCCCCTCCTTGACAGCTATGCATGTCAACTGAAAATCCTTCATCTTGTGATATCTGCAACGTCACATCAAGAAAAATACATCCATTAACAAATGCCACCAGCAACCATTCAACAATGCTCCAAAAGGCATAATTTTGTCACTGGTCTCTGCAATAGCTTTTTTCCCAGTTGTACTTGTGCCACTCTCACTTTTCCATCTTTTCCAGGAAATACTTGGGTGACTTTTGCAAGGGGCCAATGAGCTCTGGGGCTATCAGGCGATATAACAATAACAATATCCCCTACCTTCAAATTTTTCTTCTCTTTGTGCCATTTTGTCGTTGGATTTAGTCCTGGTAGCCATTCTTTCAACCAACGTTGCCAGAAGTGCTTCACCAGTTCTTGAACACGTCGCCATCGTTTCCTTGGACTGAACGTTGTCTGGTCTACCGTTTCTGGTGCAAATCTGCCTCCCATTTGGCCATGGAGAAAGTGATTCGGGGTCAAAGGTACATCATCATCCACATTTGCTGTCTGGTATGTCAGCGGTCTTGAATTCAGCAACGATTCTGCTCCTGTGATGGCAGTCATCAACTCTTCATCGGACACATTTGCATCTGTCAGGATTCCTTTCAACGCACGTTTTGCTGCCTTGATCATAATTTCATGAGCTCCTCCAAAATGTGGTGACAAAGGAGGATTGAAATGCCATTTGATACCACGATTTGCAGCACTCTGGATGATTCGATTCTGGTCCAATCTTTTAACGAGCTCCTGTAGCTCCTTGTCAGCTGCTACGAAATTGCCACCATTGTCAGAAACAACTTCTTCAGGCTTCCCACGACGACTCACCATTCGATAAAAGGCATTCAAGAATGAATCAGTATCCAGGGCAAATGCCATTTCCAAGTGTACTGCTCTGGTAGCTAGGCATGTGAAAAGACAAAGATATCGTTTTTTCTCTTCGCTTACCTCTCCCTTGCATGGTGATGAATGGTCCTCCATAATCTACAGCTACTCTTTCAAAGGCTCGCAATGACATTGCCAATCTAATGCTTGGTAGGGGTGCCATGATCTGACTGCATGCCCTCGCCTTTCGTCTTTTGCACCAGTTGCATTCGTTTTCCCATTCTCTTATCTCTTCTCTTGCTGAAATTATCCAAAAACGACTCGAAATAGCTGCCAATGTCTGATTTGTGCCACCTGCATGATGATCCTTTTCATGATAGAATTTCACGATCAGCTTTGTAACCCAGTTCTTCCTTGGTAGAATAATAGGATATTTTGCATCGTATGGCAGGAAGTCAGCATACCTCAATCTTCCATTACACCGTAGAAGTCCATCTTCATCGATTCGTGGCTGTAACACAATCAATTTGCTGTCACTCTTCATTTGCTTTCCTTTCAACAGTTGCTGGTATTCGGTTGCAAATGCATTTTGCTGCACGTCTCGAATGATATGAATTTCTGCATCTTTGATCTCTTCATATGTCAATTCTCCATTAATTCTTTCTTTTTTTGCTGTTCGACAGTTGTCCAAGAAACGGCAAACCCATGCTACAAGTCTTGTAAGTCGAAGCCAGCTTGAAAAATGAGAAGGATCCAAATACCAAGAATTCTCCTTACCCGCTTTCATCAGTTTACTTGGTTCCACTTGTTCACCAGTCGTAGATTTCTTTTTGCTAACTGCATCAGCAAACAATGATTGTTTCTCTTCATGATTTTCTGTTACGGACTTCATCTTTGAACGACCAGACTTCTTCTGCTCCGATACTGCTTCCATTGACATCTCAAATTGATTATTAGGCCATTCATCCTCAGCCATTTCCAAGAATTCTGGTCCTTTCCACCATTGCTCACTGTTTGCCAACGCAGATGCTACCATCTCTCTTGTCAAGTGATCAGCAGGATTATCCTTCGTGGGAACATATCTCCATTGCTCAGGGTTTGTCATGTTTTGAATCTCACCAACACGATTTGCAACAAATGGCTTGAAACATCTGCTATGTCCTCTGATCCACCAAAGTGTGTTCATGCTGTCACACCAGAATTTGACTTGCTTCACTGACACTTGCATTGCATTCGCTACCGATACCGCCAATCGAAGTCCTGTGACTGCTCCCATTAGTTCCATCCTTGGAATGCTCATAGCTGCCAGTGGTGCAACACGTGACTTTGCTGCGACAATATTAGTAGTAGCTGCATGATCAACGTAGACATACCTTGCATAAATAACAGCTCCATAAGCTTCTTCTGATGCATCACTGAAAACGTGTAATTGCATTGATTGAACATCTTTATGCTTGCCAGTGTGAAGACATCTTGGCACTGAAAGATTTGACAACTCGTGAAGTTCACTGTACCAACTCTGAATCTTTGACTTGACTTCGCCATCGAGCTCATCATCCCAATCGAAGCCTTGTCGCCAGATTTCCTGCATTACCACTTTTGCTCTAACGATGAATGGTGCCAAGAAACCAAGAGGGTCAAACAATGATGCAATGGTTCTCAGAAACGATCTCTTTGTGATGATTTGATTTTCTTCAGGTGGGCTTGAGTGAAAACTGAAAATATCCTCCTTTGCTCGCCAAAGTATTCCAAGGGTCTTTACAGTTGGAAGCTCTCCATTGTCCAAATCAATTTCAGATGCTCTGTCTTCTACTGGGATTACAGAGAGAACTTCTGGAGAATTAGAGAGCCACTTTCTTGCATGCATGCCTGCCTTGTTCCATAGAGCTGCAAGCTGATGATACAGTTGGATTCCCTTTTCGTCATCTTGTACTGAATCAATGCTGTCATCCATGTAGGTTGACTTGAGTGCAGTTTCTGAAGCCATCGGATATTCTGATCTGTACAACTGAGCATGCTTTTGAATCACAAACTGTGCTTGAAACGGTGAACTTGTTATACCAAACACCACTCGGCTGAATTCATACTCCTCTGGATCTCTGTCCTGGTCACATCTTCTCCAAAGAAATCGATGATACACACGGTCAGCTTCTGGAATCTGAATCCTCAAATACATCTCAGCAATGTCACAGACAACAGCGACGGGATGACATCTAAAGCGTAGCAAAACATCAAACAATTCTCGTTGCAGCTTCGGGCCTGAATGTATCATGTCATTCAAGGATGTCCCTTCATACTTTGCTGAAGCATCAAAGACGATTCTGATCTTGGTGGTCGCTTTGTTGGGTTTCAATATAGCAAAATGAGGAAGATACCACTTGCTGTCAGGTTGCTTCTCAGAGACTGGAACCTTTCGTATGTATCCTTTGTCCAAATATTGATCAATGACTTCATCGTATGCCTTCATCACATCTGGGTTCTTGAGCAAACGTTTCTCGGTGTTCTGCAGTCTTTTCATTGCCATTTTGTGATTGTTCACCATTCTATAACTATCTTCTTTCCATGGTACTCCAACTTCATATCGACCATCAATGATGAAAACCTGAAAGTAATAATGCTACACGCTTTTGTCTCAGAAATGACAAGCCTTCTCATCAGGAGCGGATCAGATACTAGTTGTCTGGGTTGCCACCGGTCCTAGTCTGTAGATTGTAATATTCCAAAATTAACTTCTTCATCTGTTTCGAGCTTCTTGATTATCGACACAGCTAGTCTGCTTGTAGTAACAAAGTCGTATTGATAGAAGGGCCTACTGCGAGGGATCTTCTTGCCTTCGTGGCAATCCGTCACGCTCTATCTGTCACCCAATAGGCGTTCCGTACTGGTCTATATGAGCCTCTGCTCCTTCTCGTGGTCCCCGTAACGTTCGGTTAGAATGATGTGCATTTTAATCAAGGTAGTCTATATACGAACCACAGTCATGCCATAACAGACTGAGCAGTCTCGAGATACCGAAGTGATACTGGAATAATGTAACATCTGATAGCTCTAATATGCAGGCCACTTTGCTCGCTGGAGAGTGAATGCACCCCAAAACATGAGCACAGTACCTGTCATTGTTGTTAACCAGCTCATGTAACGTCTTCGTTATATGAACAGCTCAAGGCTGTACGTTAAAACAACTGGGATTTCGTATAGTCACACGTAATAACCGAACAAATACAACAAACTTTGAGAGAGACGCAAAACCTCAAGACACAGCGCGCAGAATTGTTCGGAGGAGAATGACACACACTAAATGCTAACCACTTGTCACTTCTATTTAGACACATTTGAACTTTACTCATCTAAATCATAATGGATACTCATGACGACCTCTATGATCTATAGCTGCACTCAAACATCTATACATATGCTATTCGATAATAGTTGGTAAGATGATTGGCCATCAATCAAGAACAGAAGTTGTACTGTTTCATATATATATAAACGTAACAAACTACAGTAATCACAGCCCTCCTATTAAGTGCAAATTCGAAGGCATAACAACCATGGCTGATTCTCATG